GTGATAGTGCAAGTGATCAGCCTTCGACCTCAATAATATGACGTGGCCAACTCAAAACATCTGGATGACCAGGAATAAGCTCTCTTGGATTCTTGGTCACTACCTTGGAATGAAGAAGCAATGACGTGTCCTTTACTGCGGTAAGTCTTAACCATGACATGATCAGGCCTAGGTCTAGACTTTATATTCCAATTTTTTTGTTTATTGCCATGGTCCCCTTTACATACTTAGATACTTACTCATACTTTTAGATACTTTAGATATTTACTGATATAGTTACTAACTGGTCATAGATACTTACTGTTCAGAGTTACTCACTGCTCATAGTTACTTAATGATCAGAGTTACTTACTGGTCATAGTTACTTACGCACATGTGAGCATATGATTCCCAACTAGTTGAAACATCCCCGGAATGAAGCGACTCCTGCCGGCCATGTATCAGAAATGTGTTGTGTTACAAAAGTTGCAAGTCATTGTTTATTAGTGTTCATAGATACTTACTGGTCATACATTCTTCCTGGTTAAAGTTACTCCCTATCAGAGTTACTTACTGGTCATAGATTCTTACTGTTCAGAGTTACTTACTGCTCAGAGTTAATTACTGGTTATAGTTAATTACTGATCATAGTTCTATAAATCGTCCGATTGTTCCTATGCCAGATATATCTATGTATATATATAGTACTCCGATTCGCCAGTCTTCGACTTATATACTAGTAAAATTATTTAGAAAAATAACTCCATAGTTTCATTAAAATTGTTTAAATTTGTTCCAAAACAAATCTCGCACATCTGTGCATATGATTCCCAACTAGTTCTAACATCCCCGGAATGAAGCGACTCCTTCCGGCCATGTATCAGAAATGTGTTGTTACAAAAGTCGCAAGTCATTGTTTTTTAGTGTTCATAGATACTTACTGGTCATTGATACTTATTGGTCATAGATACTTACTGGACATACATTCTTCCTGGTCAAAGTTATTCCCTATCAGAGTTACTTACTGGTCATAGATTCCTACTGTTTAGAGTTTCTTACTCCTCACAGTTAATTACTGGTTATAGTTAATTACTGATCATAGTTCTATAAATCGTCCGATTGTTCCTATAGCAGATATATCTATGTATATATATAGTACACCGATTCGCCAGTCTTCGACTTATATACTAGTAAAATTATTTAGAAGAATAACTCCATAGTTTCATTCAAATAGCTTAAATTTGTTCCAAAACAAATCTCACACATCTGTGCATATGATTCCCAACTAGTTCTAACATCCCCGGAATGAAGCGACTCCTGCCGGCCATGTATCAGAAATGTGTTGTGTTACAAAAGTTGCAAGTCATTGTTTATTAGTGTTCATAGATACTTACTGGTCATTGAAACTTATTGGTCATAGATACTTACTGGTCATAGTTACTTACTGATCTTAGGTACGTACTGGTCATAGATACTTACTGGTCAAAGCTACTTACTGGTCATAGATACTTACTGATCATAGATACTTACTGCATTGTTTATTAGTGTTCAAATTAAGTAACTGATCATACATACTTACTGGTCATAGATACTTACTGATTTTAGTTACTTACTGGTCATCTGGTGATCTTTATATGGTCGGTGATGACTCCTTCACTGCGTTGCAAACTTCTTACTGAAATTATAATACCCTGCGCTGGGGTATAAAAATAGTTCCTATCTGAGGAATAGTGTATTAGTAGATATTCATAGATACTTACTGGTCATTGATACTTATTGGTCATAGATACTTACTGGACATACATTCTTCCTGGTCAAAGTTATTCCCTATCAGAGTTACTTACTGGTCATAGATTCCTACTGTTTAGATGTACTTACTCCTCACAGTTAATTACTGGTTATAGTTAATTACTGATCATAGTTCTATAAATCGTGCAATTGTTCCTATGGCAGCTATATATATGTATATATATAGTACACCGATTCGCCAATCTCCGACTTATGTACTAGTAAAATTATTTAAAAGAATAACTATGTACATAGTTTCATTCAAATAGCTTAAATTTGTTCCAAAACAAATCTCACACATATTGATTATAGTTAAATTAAATAGCTCGCTGTTTCTCTCTGCCTCTCCCCCTCTTTCTCTATGACTATCGCTTTATGTTAATCTCTAGAGGCAACTCCTCTCCCGCGCACTCACACTCACTTTCTCTTCTCTTCTCTTTCCTCGGGGACTATAAATAGAGGCGCTGAGGTCGCGCGCGCCTCAGTCTGTCCTAGGGGTACCTAGTGTTTACATCGATAGTGATAGTGCAAGTGATCAGCCTTCGACCTCAATAATATGACGTGGCCAACTCAAAACATCTGGATGACCAGGAATAAGCTCTCTTGGATTCTTGGTCACTACCTTGGAATGAAGAAGCAATGACGTGTCCTTTACTGCGGTAAGTCTTAACCATGACATGATCAGGCCTAGGTCTAGACTTTATATTCCAATTTTTTTGTTTATTGCCATGGTCCCCTTTACATACTTAGATACTTACTCATACTTTTAGATACTTTAGATATTTACTGATATAGTTACTAACTGGTCATAGATACTTACTGTTCAGAGTTACTCACTGCTCATAGTTACTTAATGATCAGAGTTACTTACTGGTCATAGTTACTTACGCACATGTGAGCATATGATTCCCAACTAGTTGAAACATCCCCGGAATGAAGCGACTCCTGCCGGCCATGTATCAGAAATGTGTTGTGTTACAAAAGTTGCAAGTCATTGTTTATTAGTGTTCATAGATACTTACTGGTCATACATTCTTCCTGGTTAAAGTTACTCCCTATCAGAGTTACTTACTGGTCATAGATTCTTACTGTTCAGAGTTACTTACTGCTCAGAGTTAATTACTGGTTATAGTTAATTACTGATCATAGTTCTATAAATCGTCCGATTGTTCCTATGCCAGATATATCTATGTATATATATAGTACTCCGATTCGCCAGTCTTCGACTTATATACTAGTAAAATTATTTAGAAAAATAACTCCATAGTTTCATTAAAATTGTTTAAATTTGTTCCAAAACAAATCTCGCACATCTGTGCATATGATTCCCAACTAGTTCTAACATCCCCGGAATGAAGCGACTCCTTCCGGCCATGTATCAGAAATGTGTTGTTACAAAAGTCGCAAGTCATTGTTTATTAGTGTTCATAGATACTTACTGGTCATTGATACTTATTGGTCATAGATACTTACTGGACATACATTCTTCCTGGTCAAAGTTATTCCCTATCAGAGTTACTTACTGGTCATAGATTCCTACTGTTTAGAGTTTCTTACTCCTCACAGTTAATTACTGGTTATAGTTAATTACTGATCATAGTTCTATAAATCGTCCGATTGTTCCTATAGCAGATATATCTATGTATATATATAGTACACCGATTCGCCAGTCTTCGACTTATATACTAGTAAAATTATTTAGAAGAATAACTCCATAGTTTCATTCAAATAGCTTAAATTTGTTCCAAAACAAATCTCACACATCTGTGCATATGATTCCCAACTAGTTCTAACATCCCCGGAATGAAGCGACTCCTGCCGGCCATGTATCAGAAATGTGTTGTGTTACAAAAGTTGCAAGTCATTGTTTATTAGTGTTCATAGATACTTACTGGTCATTGAAACTTATTGGTCATAGATACTTACTGGTCATAGTTACTTACTGATCTTAGGTACGCACTGGTCATAGATACTTACTGGTCAAAGCTACTTACTGGTCATAGATACTTACTGATCATAGATACTTACTGCATTGTTTATTAGTGTTCAAATTAAGTAACTGATCATACATACTTACTGGTCATAGATACTTACTGATTTTAGTTACTTACTGGTCATCTGGTGATCTTTATATGGTCGGTGATGACTCCTTCACTGCGTTGCAAACTTCTTACTGAAATTATAATATCTTGCGCTGGGGTATAAAAATAGCTCCTATCTGAGGAATACAAATGCGATTATTAAATCTGTTTTGTTTTTATTTTGAGACCACCAAGAGAAGTTCCGCAGCCAGCGCAAAGTCGTAATTTATTTACGCCAAACAATCCAAAAATAATTACCAATTACGCTTATTTTAAATTCACTTTCCGTTTGCTCGACAATAAACAAAAACAGCCTTCGAAAGAACAACAAAAAGAAATAAAAATGTTGCTACTTGCTAAAAATAAAAAAAAGTAATTGCCTTTAAAACGCCTATGGTTATGTATTATATTTATGTATATATTTATGTATTATATTTAATGTATATTTATTTAAGTTTAAAGTAGTATGGTGGTGACTTTAAGAATCTTCCCTGGAGTATACCTCTTCATAATAATATAGTTTCAGGGCTAATTTCAATTTTGTATGGGAATTTAGTTACTTGTACATTCTAAGCAAGTAGTAAATAAATTCAACTACGAAAAAAATATCAATATTTTGCAATATATTAAGATTTGTAGATTATTTTAAGTTTCGCGCCCTCATTTGTTTTTTGGCTTTAAGAAAAAAGTAGTTCTTTGGTCACACTAGTGTATACCTGACGTTAAATAATTACTTGTTTGATGACTTGACGTTAGATGATTACGTTTCAAGTCAGAGCAAAGCTTTCCACCTTTTCCCATCATAGTTTAAAACCTATTATTACGGTTATTTAAACCAAGCTTAGTTTTCCACCTTTTATCTATCGGAATCTGAATATATCGTATCGTATCGAAAATAACATCTGTTTTTAAATTCTAATTCCTGCATCAGAATTCAAACGCAAGAATTCCACCCCTGTAAACGTGTAAAATGGTTATCTAGTCGTACAAGATGTACATTTTTAAGCATGTTTTTGAAAACATTGAAACTACCATTGATAAAATCAATCAATATCAATAAAATCATCGCAACATCGATAGTTGGGCAAACAAAATATCACGATATAAATATATCATTTTGAGAAAAATATCGATATATTGATATTTTGATAAACAACCCTAGTATTGATTAATAACAATAGGAATTTGCACAAACTTGGGGGCCGCAGTTTCTGTAGATTCGCAGCCAAAATGGACATGATAAACAAATTCTATTCGACGGCTGTGCAGACTGTATCCACTCTGTCCGGCGTGCTGCCCGGAAACAATGTAACGCGCGAGTACGAGGTGCTGGAACAGGTGTGCACCGCAGGAGTGGGTGAGTTTTCCCCGGACGAACTTCCCAACATATTGTGACAAATTTCGTCTCTTCAATCTAACCGAACAGGTCTTATGTGGAAGGTTTACAATGGCTACAAGAAGAGCACAAAGCAGGAAGTGTCCGTGTTCGTGTTCGAGAAGAAATCGCTTGAACGATGGTCGAAAGATGACAGGGAAACTATGCTGGAAACGCTGCGCAGGGGCGTGCAACAGTTGACCAAGATCCGTCACCCACATGTGCTGACTGTGCAGCATCCGCTGGAGGAGAGCCGGGACTCACTAGCCTTTGCCACGGAACCCGTGTTCGCCTCGCTGGCAAATGTCGTTGGCGACAACGTCCGCTCCGAGAAGAAGCTGTACGACGTGGAAATCCGTCACGGCCTGCTGCAGCTGTTTGATGGTCTGCAGTTCCTACACCAGGACGCCAAGATCGTTCATCGCAACATATCGGCCGAGACGATCGTGATTAACAAGAACCGCAGCTGGAAGCTGTTCGGCTTCGATTTCTGCATTGCCAACCAGCCAGCGACGGACGGAACACCAAACTGGCCATTCCGGGAGTACACAACCTCCCTGCATGTTCTGGCACAACCCAGTTTGGAGTACACGGCTCCGGAGGTGGCCTTGAACAGTTTAAACACACCCGACAGTGATCTCTTCTCGTTGGGTGAGTATAGGGTAACTCCTTAAGTGAACAGTTTGTTTAAATTAATACTTAACAACCCGCAGGTGTGCTCATATTCACCATCTATTCCGGCAAGCCCCTCAAGATGTTTGGCAGCGATTACAGCGGCTTTCGGCGCTATGCCAACGATCTCAACCAGCGCAAATATCCACCTATGAATGCTGTGCCCGGCGAGCTGACCGAAAGCCTTAAGGCCCTACTCCATCCCAGTGCTAGTCTGCGGCCAAAGCTGCACGAGCTCAAACAGATCGCCTACTTCCAGGATGTGGGCGTTAAGACTCTTAGCTATTTGGACTCGTTGTATCAGTGGGACAATCTACAGAAATCCAAGTTCTACAAGGGGCTGCCCCAGATCATTCCGACGCTGCCGCACCGCGTGAATCTGCATTCGATCCTGCCCTATCTGGTCAAGGAGTTTGTGAACTCTCCGATGATCCCCTTCGTGCTGCCAAATGTGCTGCTTATCGCGGAGATGAGCAGCCAGCGAGAGTACTGTGACCATATCCTACCGCACCTGAAGCCTATCTTCAAGCTGACGGATCCCATACAGATCCTATTGATTTTCATGCAAAAGATGGATCTTTTGTTAAAGCTAACGCCCGCGGAAGAAGTCAAACAGAGTGTGCTGCCGCTGCTGTATCGCTCACTGGAGTGCGATATGCCGCAGATTCAGGATCTGTGCTTGGCAGTGCTGCCCACATTCTCCACCCTAATCGACTACAACGCCATGAAGAACTCGGTGCTGCCACGCATCAAAAAACTCTGCCTGCAGAGCAGCAACGTGTCGGTAAAGGTCAACTGCCTGATATCCATTGGAAAGCTCTTAGAGAACCTGGACAAGTGGCTGGTACTAGATGAGATCCTACCTTTTCTGCAGCAGATTCAGAGCCGAGAGCCTGCCATCATCATGGGCATCATAGGTTAGTAAATAAAGTTTTTAAATTTATTTCATTATATTTCTTCTGTAATTTCTCTGATCCTTAAAGGAATCTACAAAATTGCAATGACCAATACAAAACTGGGCATAACCAAGGATGTGATGGCACATAAATGCATTCCCTACCTAGTGCCCTTAAGTGTCGAGAATGGCCTGACTATAGCTCAATTCAATACAATTATAGGTCTCATCAAGGAAATGATGGGCCGGGTGGAACAGGAGCAGCGTGAGAAGTTGCAACAACTGTCTACCATTCAGAGAGACAATAAGTAAGATCGTTTTTGTTTTTAATCAAAAAAAATTATATTTAAATAATCCCATTCTGATTACTTTGATTAAGACCCAAAGATGCTTCCGAAATATTGGCTAATGAGCTGGATGGCAGTTCTGCCCTTTCACCCAGTGATGGTGCCAACAATGGCAACAAGATCAACGATGACATGTTCTCCGGCTTCACTGTGGGTCAACCAAAGGCAGGCAACGCCGCTCCCCTGGCGCCCGTCAAAGCCAAAGAGCAGCTCAAGTACGCATCAATCAAGCGGACTATGAAGACAACCAGACAAGACTCAAGAAACCCTTTCGATATTTCAGAATAACGCACAACACTATGTCAGCACAGTCAACTGGCAGGCCAGACATTCTCTCCTCGATGATGCAAAGCAACCTGACTGGGTTGGGAACGACAACAGCTACCACTCCACCTGCGCCAGCACCGGCACCGATGCAGATCAATAATGGCTGGCACAGTGCAAATCCGTTGGTTATGAACCATCAACTGGCCTCACCACAGGCCAGCAACAATAATTTCTCCTCTCTGGATAACCTGGATCCCTTCGGAGGAGGTACAGGCCTCACTGCGACCACTAAGCCAAACACAAACGGTGCCAACACATACACGCTGCAGCAGCCGACTGTTAACTATATTTATCCAGCCGGATACAGTCTGAACAGTATCCAGCAGCATCAGCAGCAACAGCAGCAGCATCTTCTGGGCAAGCCCAGTCAAGCTCCAACGCTGCAGCCCCAGACACAGCCCCTGCTAACGACAGATAACCAGAACCTCAATGCACTCTCCCAGCAAGACATACTTAACTTTTTGAACTAGACAGTTGTAGCCAATAACCACATATTCCATATATCGAACAGCAAGGCCAACTCTATATACAACAGGTTGCGTCGGACTTTTATGAAAACAACCGAATGCGGCAAAAACAAGAGATAATAGTCAAGTCTCATCAACTTCTGCTGAGAGAAATATCTATATCTTGGGACCCATTTGTTAAGACTTGACTATACCTCATGTTTTTGCTACAGGGATTTCGACTTACCATTTTATTCACGTATATACATACCTATAAATATATATATATATATATAAATTAATTAATGTGCGAGGTGTGATTGTCCTGTGTACGTGTGTGTGGTGCGTGTTTGTTAGAAATGTTTTAAATTATATTATGTAGATTTTAACACGAGTCCTTTGGCTCCTCGCTCGTTGCCACATTCCGCAACCGATATCAAACGCAAAACGAAATGAAAGCGTTTAGTTAAAAATAGAATATGTATTATTATTGTTAGCTAGACAAAAGAGCAAACCGACTATGTTTTGTGCAATGGATCCTTACCTATGTATATTTTACAAAGGATATAGACAAAGATGTATTATTTAATATATCAAAATATGTTATTTAATATATTTATCGGTTATTGTTTGCTATTTAAAAGGATTGATTTATTTTTACAATTATTATTCAGATTTCAACAACTGTGAGCTTCTTCGTCCTTGTTTAATATCTTTTCTAAAAGAACTAACTAATAAAATTACAAAATACAATGCACAAGTATAGTTTTTAAGAACAAATAAGGATTTTAATTTGTAAATCTAGTAATCGATTTCCTAGCTAACAACTTCATTCTCCTTCTCATAGGTAATGGGCAATTCAACTTGAATTACATACGGGTTGAACGGTGATCCCATATAGAGATGACCTTCGAACTCCAGGACATGCGATATTCCAGCCGAGGATCTATCAAAACCATGCAGGGATCTAACTATATTTCCATTCCAGTCCACACGCACAACGGTGGTCCTACTGGGAGTATTTCTGCTAACCCACTCAGTGAACAAGTGAAACAGACGATCCACCACAGTGTTGGGATACACTTGGTTCAGATAGCGAAAGGGAAGCTGCATTAGGGCCATAAGACGGGCGAGAAAGAACCGAAGTCTCGGATGGGGAGATAAAATGGCAAACATATTGGGGTTCTCGCTATCTGCAGCGACGCCCAGAGGCACCCAAATTCCCTCGGCATCGGGAGTGAGATTATCCGGTAAACCTGGCAGGCCGTCTACAAAGACTTCGCTCTGACCAGCCCGTGGTCCCTTAAGGTGATATTTGGTCAGGCGCATTGCAGTCGTTTCAGAAACGATAATGAAATCCTCCTTCGGACTTAAAACCAAACCATTGGCAAATGCCAGCTCATCCAGAAGTACCTCATTGGTCTTCATCTTTCGATTGTACCTAAAAAGACTAAAAGAGAGCTCATTATTATCCCTTAAAACCAGAAAGATTTCCTTAAATTAAACTTACCGACCCGAAGGATTCGCAAACGGAGCCAACATAAAGTCATCGGTTAGGGAGTCGGTCCAGTAAATGTCACCCTCCCGGCTGATTGCCACTGAATTGAATAGCTTTGCCGGTCGATTAACTTTCTTTCCCGGAAGTACTTGCTCCGGAGACACCAACATGGTCTTCTGATTCGTATCTAAGTTCACCTCCCATAGCCCATAATAGGCATCGGCAATAATCATATTGTTTTTCTGGGGGACAAAGGCCAAGCCCACGGGGTAGCCACATACCGTATCTTGAAAAATGTAATCTAAGTGGAATAAAAACCCATTAATTAAGTAAACATAAGTAACCTTTAAGGAAAAATTCTTCCTTACTACAAGGTTTTCCTATCTTTGTAACAGTCTCAACATAATCTTTTTTTTTTAGCCTGATGACTTCTCCACCATGAATGCCCGTGTAGATACCATCGTCCCGAGCTATCAGGCACTCTGGTCCAAAGACTCGATCCTGCCACAAGTGTCTAGCGCCGTCCAGGTGAGTATTAGCTTCCAGTGTCCCCTTTAGTTCCCTAGGCGGTGTAATGCTGTCACATGTCGGGATATTTTTATACTTTGGGAAGGAATTGAAGATCATTGACTTACACATATTCCCTTAAGGGAAATGTGGTGTTTGGTGGTAATCCGGGAAGCAGGAAAATCGCTCCCAAGAAAAAACCCACGTATAGAATGACTTTACGAATGGAACTCAGAAAGCCCATAGTTATGTTCTTAAACACAATTTTCTAACTGAAAAGGTTGCCCCAACGATAAGGTAAAGTCCAGCCATACGAACATGGTTACAAACAAAAACATATGGACTTTGATTACTGCGATAGTTAATTATAATCAACACTATGGTTAGATTTGAATGTTAACCCGGGAAAAATAGGGCACAAGGTATTGGAGGAGTTTCTTTCAAATTGAAACAAACATTTTTATACTTATTTATCCATTTATTATTATCAGAGGCAGAGCGTGCTTAACATGGCTGATATCTTTGGCGATACATCTTCAATCAAAGATGATTAGCGCATTGTACTTCCCTTAACATATTCGGTTGTTCATCGTTTCCCGTCCAGCCTTCCCAGCTTCTTAGCCTAGTGAGTGGAGATATCACGATATCGATTCGGAACGCATTGTCTAAGGCGGCTGCTAAGCTAAGTGCACCCAAAGTCTAAAACTGAGTAAACGATTGGCCTACAAGCTACATAAATAACAAATACTAGCAGGCAGCGCTCTCAGGTCTCCACCAGGATGTGTGTGAACAAGCTGTGCATGCGTCGCTCCACCTCTTTGTAGACCAGCGAGTTGAGTCCATCCGAGTGCTGCCGGAGAGCGGCGGCCCGGAGCAGGGCCACCCGGTTCTTGTTGGGCTTCTCCGGCTTGTGCTTCAGCATTGTGTACTCGCTAAACTCCATCGCAAAGCGGCAGATATCGATCCCCAGAGCCACTAGCCGCTCGTAGAGATCATCATCCTCGCCGCCCCAGCCGTGGTACAGATTGGACATTCCGTTAATCTGCTGGAACTGGACGGTATTGATGGCCACCACACCACCAAAGAGGCCGCGGTAGGGCAGTCGGAAACGCCAGTGATCCAAAGCGGAGCACATGTGCCGTGGCTTCTCCGTACACGCGTACATCTGACCCGAGTTGAGCGGCAGCAGGTCCACGTCGTGCAGGATCAGACACGGGAAGCCGTACTCCGCCGCAACCTGGGCGCCGATGTTGAAGAGCATCGCCCGGTTGAAGGGCTTGTGGTCGTACTGCTCCACTAGGAAAATTCGATAGTGGATCAGCTGCTGGCGCAGGTAATTGTGCATGTAGGTGAGGAAGGCGTGCAGCTGCTCCTCCCGTTGCCTGTAGGGCACAATGATGGCAGTGCTGTAACGGGCCTGGCACTGCTCCGGCCGGAACTCGCCGCCAGGATGAATCTCGCCGCCGTTGTGAACCGCCTCGTGGTAGTGGGCCAGGTTGTAAACGAACCTGTTGGCCGCAATAATCTCCGAGTAGGTGCACTCAAACACCTCCTGCAGAGACACATTCCGGGTGACCTGCTGCACCAGAGCCTCCTCGATCTGCGATCCCTCGATGTAGTCGTAGTGCGAGGCGAAGCGAAAGGGCAGCGAAAGGTACACAATGAGCGTGACCAGGCTAATGACGAGGAGCAGGTAGTGAATGTGGAAATTCCTGTGCCACAGCCGCACGAACATCGTTTGGCAGGAACTCAAATCTCAGCGCGATCTCAGGGAAGTCCGCATCCTAGGGGCGGCAGAAGTCTCGACTGGCGGGCTGACGAAAATCAGCTGCCGACGAGGGGTGCAAAGTACTCATACCAGTGCAGATTATACGACGCCGTGTACAGTGGAACATCCTTAAAAAGGAATACCATTTTATATTTTCCACGCTTCAATTAAAAAAAAAAATCAATATTTACCTAATTATCATATAAATATTTATTAATTACGAATTTTCTATCATTACTTATGAAGGACAGATGATTTTCTCTGTGGTTCGTCCCAAATGATTTCACTGTCCAAGTTAAATATGTTAATACTTATCTCATTTAACCAATAGCCAGATAAGAATATCTTATGAGGCAATAATTTAATTAATTTAAAAGGAGATAAGATAATGAAAATGCCTATGACCATAAAGAAGATATATTAACTTATTAATAATTGTCTTGTAAATTTTCCCGATATTTTTTTATTATTCACTTCGTTTATTATGTTTGTAAGTTATTATGTGGAAACATTAAACAGTGTTTATTTTAACTGGTGACCACTGTATAAACAAACAGCTAGTGCATATAAAACAGTGTGGCAACTCCACACGAAAGTTGTTGTCCAGCCCTGGGCCGGTCACTTGGCTCTTACTTCTTTCTCCGAAGATTAATTAATCGTTTTTAATTAATGCGCGTTAATCTGTTGTTGAATAGTAGTTGAATCTGCCAAAATGACGTCCATTATTAAGTTGCACACGATATCCGGGGCTATGGACGAGTCTCCGCCGTGCTACATTCTTCAGATAGACGACGTGCGAATTCTTTTGGACTGCGGGTGGGATGAAAAGTTCGACGCTAACTTTATTAAAGAGCTCAAGAGGTGAATATTCGAGACAATTTAAGGTGCAGCTTATAAGTTTCATACAAGTACAGGCAGGTGCACACTTTGGACGCCGTGCTGCTGTCCCACCCTGACGCATATCACCTAGGCGCCTTGCCGTACTTGGTCGGCAAGCTGGGATTGAACTGCCCCATCTACGCCACAATTCCAGTGTTTAAGATGGGCCAGATGTTCATGTACGACCTGTACATGTCGCACTTCAACATGGGCGACTTTGATCTCTTCTCGCTGGACGACGTGGACACGGCCTTCGAGAAGATCACGCAACTGAAATATAACCAAACGATTTCGCTGAAGGGCAAGGGTTATGGCATATCCATAACGCCCCTCAATGCTGGCCACATGATAGGTGGTACCATCTGGAAGATAGTGAAGGTGGGCGAGGAGGATATAGTCTATGCTACTGATTTTAACCACAAAAAGGAACGGCATTTGAGCGGCTGTGAGCATGACAGGCTGCAGAGACCCTCGCTTCTCATCACCGACGCCTACAATGCACAGTACCAGCAGGCCAGAAGACGGGCTCGCGATGAAAAGCTGATGACCAACATTCTGCAGACGGTGCGAAATAATGGCAATGTCCTCATAGCTGTGGACACCGCAGGACGTGTTCTTGAGCTGGCCCACATGCTGGACCAACTGTGGAAGAACAAGGAGTCCGGGCTGATGGCCTACTCCTTGGCCCTACTCAACAATGTGAGCTACAACGTGATCGAGTTCGCCAAATCGCAGATCGAGTGGATGAGCGACAAGTTGACAAAGGCCTTCGAAGGTGCCCGCAACAATCCCTTCCAGTTCAAGCACATCCAGTTGTGTCACTCCCTGGCGGACGTCTACAAACTGCCTGCGGGACCCAAAGTTGTGCTCGCCAGCACGCCGGATCTGGAGAGCGGATTTTCCAGAGACCTCTTTGTGCAATGGGCCAGCAATGCCAACAATAGCATTATCCTAACAACACGCACTTCGCCCGGCACTCTGGCCATGGAGCTAGTCGACAACTGCACGCCAGGCAAGCAAATTGAGTTAGACATTCGACGGAGAGTTGAGCTCGAAGGCGCCGAGCTGGATGAATATCTGCGCACCCAGGGCGAAAAACTGAATCCCCTCATTGTGAAGCCAGATGTAGAGGAGGAAAGCAGCTCCGAGTCTGAAGACGACATCGAAATGAGTGTTATTACTGGCAAGCACGACATTGTCGTCAGGCCAGAGGGTCGTCACCATTCCGGTTTCTTTAAGTCCAACAAGCGCCATCACGTAATGTTTCCCTATCACGAAGAGAAGATCAAATACGACGAGTACGGAGAGATCATCAACCTCGATGACTATCGCATCGCCGATACGGGAGGCTACGATTTCGTGCCCATGGAAGAGCAGAACAAGGAGAATGTGAAGAAGGAAGAGCCGGGTATGGGAGCTGATCCTCAGGCCAACGGAGCTGTCGCAGACACTGATGTCCAGCTGCTAGAAAAGCCCACCAAGCTGATAAATCAGCGGAAAACCATTGAAGTGAATGCCCAGATCCAGCGAATAGACTTTGAGGGTCGTTCAGACGGTGAGTCCATGTTAAAGATCCTCTCCCAATTGCGACCGAGGCGTGTGATTGTCATCCACGGCACTGCGGAGGGCACCCAGGTGGTGGCCAAGCATTGCGAGCAGAATGTCGGCGCACGCGTCTTCACGCCGCAGAAAGGCGAGATCATTGACGTGACCACTGAGATCCACATTTACCAGGTGCGCCTCACAGAGGGCCTCGTTTCCCAGCTGCAGTTCCAAAAGGGCAAGGACGCAGAGGTGGCCTGGGTGGATGGCCGCTTGGGAATGCGTCTCAAGGCCATCGACGCTCCCATGGATGTCACCGTTGAGCAGGACGTACAAGAGGGCAAGACGTTGACCCTGGAAACGCTACCGGACGACGAGATCCCCGTCCACAATTCGGTGCTGATCAATGAGTTAAAGCTCTCAGACTTTAAGCAGATTCTCATGCGGAACAACATCAACTCGGAGTTCTCCGGCGGCGTCCTTTGGTGCAGCAATGGAACCTTGGCTTTAAGGCGCGTGGATGCCGGCAAGGTTGCAATGGAGGGCTGCCTTTCGGAAGAGTACTACAAAATCAGGGAGTTGCTCTATGAGCAGTACGCAATTGTTTAAGATTAAAGTTTCCTTTATAATCTAGATTATTTTTATATTCACGTCTACATAAACTGCATCATTGGATCTTCTGCACGCGGCCGCTTCTTCTTCCACTCTTCTATCTCATCCTCGGTGGGTGCCTTTATATCGTACATGCTGTTGTAGGCCCGCTTACGATCGTCCATCTCTTCAGGAATATCCTTTGCCCTTTCCTTCGTCTTTGTCTTCTCCTTATCCTTGGCTTCTTTGTGCTTGGATTTCTGTTTGCGCTGCTCCTTGGCCTTCTTTTTCTTCTCCCGCTTTTTGGATTTCTTTTTTGACTTTTTCTTCTCCGGCTTCTCTTCCTCCTCTGACGATGATGAAGATTCTGAGCTCGGCACAGAGTCGACTTCGGAGAGAACTGGCTTCTCCGATGGTACATCTGGCACTTTGAAATGAACTTGGGCGGTGGACTCTGCAGCAGATGTTGCTGAGCTGGAACTAGGAGTTGAATGCTGATCCGAATAGCCCTCTGGCTCTTGCATGCCCACGCAGTAGGAGTTCTTGATGAAGGACTTGCAGCACTTGTAGCCCCAACGACCGGCGTTCCAGAAGCTGCCCCACACAGTCGTGTGGTTATTGATGTAAACATCCTCCTCGTAAATGCTGCGGGCTTTTGGTTTCTCCACGCCCTTAATGACCTTGCCACTGCGAGAGTATTCGATGTATTCCTCAGTTTGAGCCAACAGCAGCGACTTGGGCGGCACCTGTAGATGCTCCTCTCCGCCGTATTTCTCCACGATGTGAGTTTTGGTCTGAAAAGAGGAAATGTTTAGGAATTTTTGAAACATTACAAGAATTTATGGTCTTACACTTGACTTGAACTGCTCCTTTTTCTGTTCGTACTCCTTCTGGAGCAGCTCTAACTTGGTGGGTTCAGCCAGCAGATGGACATCCACACCCTTGCCATGGGCTTCCCAAGCAAACAACTGAGCTGTGGCCTGTGCTGTGGTGTCTCCCGAAAACCGCACGAAGTTCTCGCCAGCAAACTCAGCTCTGCAAGATAGATAGGTATAAGTAAGTGTAGGTTTCGGGATTCCTTATGGTACTCACTCTTCTTCCGGAACCGCAGGATTGGGATTATCACGCATAGAGCGCGTTTTAGGATCGTAGTAGGCGGAGTTCGGATCCAAATTTCGTAGGTATTTAGCTGTGTCTTCACGGATACGCAAGTTGCGCACAGTAATACGCTGTTTGGAATCCACTTTCGTGCCCGGCATGTCCACTTCGTCCACGTACTTGTCCTCGTTGCCGTCTTCATCGGAAATCTCAGCATCAGGATCTGCAAGTTGCAAACAAATATGCGGAAATCTATTGTTTTGCTATGTATGTATTTCCTTACCATTCTTGAGCTTCTCGGCCTTGAGCTGCCGCTTGGCCTCCTCAACCTTCTCATACTCCTCAACGATCTCTCGATGGTTTGCCGGATCGTAGCTGCTCCAGCGATCGCGTTTCTCGTCATAGTTGACCGCCGCCTCGTTAACTAGATGCTCATCATGGACAACGATGGATTCAGCATACTTGGCCTGCACTTTGCGTGGCCTTTCCAGGCAATCCTTGCGCTTGTGTGAGAGAGCTCCGCAGTTCTCGCAGGCGCCCTTCCGGAACTTGGTGATGATGCGAGAGGTGTCCAAACCCTTGGGTGCACGCTTGTCTAGCTGGCCCTGTTCGTCCTCATGCTGCGGCCGCTGATGCTTGAGCGTGGGTCCCTGTGAGCCGTAATACCACGGAGCATTCGATATATACTGCGGGATGTGTGGATTTATGTCGCGACCCTCTTCGTCCACAGCGGCTGGAGCTGTTCCTGCCTTTCGAGCTTCCTCGAGCTCCTTGGCCTTGCGCCAGTCCTCGCGGGACTTCTTCTTGGGCTCCTCTTCGGCATCCTGGTCGTGCTTGCTTTGGAGGATCTGCGAGACGGGAGTGCGCATGGCCCCCGAACTCATTTTGTCTGATTTTATTTATTTACAATTTGCCAAATAGCCTCACGCTATCTTCTTCTTCCACTGTCAGTGTTGAAAAGCGAAAAAGTACTGGTGGGTAATAATGAAAATAAACAAAATGATTTTAAGTAAATATCTAAATGAAAAACATATTTTACACTACAATATTTCATAAAAAAAATTAATAAAAAATCATTCCTTAGCTCTTCGAGTCACAAGTATAAAAAAATTTTTTACTTGTGAAAGAACCTTTTCCAGCACTGAACTTAACATAACAGTTGGTTTTACAGCTGTTAGCAGCTTCCCCAACTGATGAGCTGTTACCATCCCGAACGATACATCGCCCAAGTTGCACATCTCTAACATTTTTCCAATAAGATTTGGCGTGAAGATTTTTATCAATATTAATACGCGATTTCGATTCAAAGCCAACAATAAATTGCCAGCAATGCAACGAAAAATGCTGGAAACTGTGATCTTGTGAAATATTTCAAATTCGTCGGAAACTAAAGTTAAATTCCTTCGGAAACAATCAATTTAAAACGCTGTGCAAACAGGGTGCGTGTAACTGTGTGCGTGCTGAGTGTGTGTATATGCGCGCATGCATATGTCGAGCGAGTGTGTGCTGAGTGTGTTGTGTGTGTGTCTAGTGCCAAGGCATCCTTAATTTTTTCGCACACATAGCTGAACACTTTTCTAATATACACCAGCTTCTGCGCACTAGACACTAGTTGGTCAGGTTGTGACAGTGCGCTGACGGTACGGCAACCCTGAAGGCTGGAAGGCCTCCGTTTTCACCAATTAGAAAATTACAAATTTTCCAATTCGGCTTCCTTAGCAAAAAGACGATTTGTTAATTAAACGCAGTTTCTCGCGTTTCGTCAGGTGTTTCTTATTGGATCGCCAGGGGGTGGTGGTGTTATTCGCGAGTGTATTGGTGGCTGGCGCGCTGAGGTGCGAGTGGGAGGCAGCGCTAGAAAATTTCTTGTTATTCTTTCTTTGTTGTTTTATCTGTGGAAAAAAGCTGCGCGTGTGTGTTCGTGCCTTGCGTATGTATGTACCATACATGCACACAAGAAATTTGCATAAAAAAGTGAGCGAGCAAAGGCATTATGATATGTAATCAAAGCTAAATGACAATGAAAGCACTTTAGATTGTGGAAAATGGACCAACCAACTATGTGTACTTGTGTTCCCATCAAACAAAAGTTTGCCAATTAGAGAAAATAAATTCCTTGTTTGCTAATTAGGAGAATTCTTAAGTGGTTGTGTTTGCGTGTGTGTGTATTTCCACAACAGGCGATCTCTCGGTGAAAATTGCGAAATGAACAAAGTTGCACTCCTTGGAATGATTTATGCGCCAAGAAAATATTACCACAGGCAGAAGATAATGATGATGGTCGTGTACTATTTTCGATTTTCCGTTTCACGGACTGTTGTCGTTTGAGCGATTGCCTAATGGCCCCCATCCGAGTCCGAGTACACACACACACACATACACTTACACAAATGTTCGCGGGAGACAGTGGCGGCCAAGATAATAGTATTTGAACATTTTAATATTTATAGTCTTGCAGGGAATTGTAATTGTAGTTAAAAGCATTGAACGCAGTGAAGGAATCATTTTCGACCCTATAATTCATTAATATTCTTGAACAGCATCAACAGCTGAATCTATTTAGCAATGTCCGGCAGTAAAAAATGTATAGATTTTTTCAAAAAAAATTTTTTACATTGTTAAAATTTGCAAAATTAAAAAAAAAATAATAAAATTTTGAAAATTTTAAATTGAGTATGCAGATTTGTTAATCTAAAAAAACTAGCATAGAAAAGTTTTCCGACTTGAAATCAATGCATTTTTGGCTTTGTTATGACCGATTTTCAATGCAAGGGTGTAGAATTTTTGAGTTCCAGAAATTACCTTGCCTTATTCAAATATTCATTTAATTAGATTTTTTAGTAATTGTGTAATTGTAATTGAATTCGATTAATAAGTGCTGTTTGAAAGTGTTGTACACGACCTTAAAACAAACCTAAAGGATTCGTGATCATTTTGAATCAAATATTGTACTTACTTCAATTTGCAGAATCCCATGCAGAATTCATATTAAAAAGTTAATCAAACTATTTAATTTAATTTGTAATATAAAATCGTGCACTATTATCATGACCGCATGTGTAAATAGACATCTGTATGTACCTAAATTCCATTGAAGCGAGGAGCAGGCGGCGACCTTGAGAGTGAATCGAGTGCACGGCGCAAGCCATTCATGAGTGTCAATGACCTACAGCAACATTGGCCCACAGAGAAAGTTGCGAACGCCTCTCATCCCTTCGTTCGGTCTTGTCTTCCCACAGATCACCAGCCGAGCAGACCAGATCACCAACGTCAGCACTAGGATAACCACAGTAGAGTGGTGAGACCGCTGCTCCCAGCACACACACGGACATCGCACGCAGGACCGAGGAGCGGCAGGAGCAGGCGGAAGGGATTCGGAAGCTAACCTCGGACACGGACTCAATTCAACAGCCTGTAAGCGCTTCGAGGGCCAAAGGACGACCATGTTCACGGGCAAGCTGCAGATCAAGGTGTGCGAGGCGAGCGGCCTGCGGCCCACAGACTTCCAGAAGCGTCACAACCTCACCTTTGGCAAGCTAGCCGACGAGCAGCTCATCGATCCCTATGTGTCCATAGATGTCGACGAGAGTCACTTTGGTAAGTCTTGTCATACATTTAGCGCAGTTTATGGTTCATCACAGTTCCAATTTGCAATTTGAAGATTTATAAAATGATGACAATATTTATAACTTTCAGATCGAGCCACCACACGGCCAAAGACATTTGATCCTGTTTGGAACGAGCAGTTCGTCCACGATGTTACCAATGTCAGCAACATTAATTTGACCGTCTTTCACGATGCCGCTCTGCCGCCAGATGATTTTGTGGCCAACTGCATAATCTCTTTTGAGGACCTCATGCAGAGCGAGACGGCTGTGCAGGATCTATGGGTATGTAATCGCTTTTACTTATGTTTTTTGGAAACAGTAACATTATTTTCAATATTCATGCAGGTTAACCTGGAGCCCCAGGGCAAGATCCACGTCATAATTGAGCTAAAGAATCGCAATGGTATCTCAAATTCACGTATTTATAGTACGCATCAACTCACGTTTATTTATTTTAGAACAAGCCAAAGCCGAGGCAGAGGTGGAGCACACTGTGGCCGTCAACAAGGAGTTCAAAGAGCGCGCCGGCTTCAATCGGCGTCGCGGTGCCATGCGTCGTCGTGTGCATCAGGTTGGTGGCAATCTATAAGGACAAAGGACTGATGAAATCAATAACTATGAATATTCTTATTGATTTCTGTGGGTCTTAGTCCTAGTCTCCTTCAATTTTACTGATTTAAATGTGTTCTTTTGCGAATCCAGGTGAATGGGCACAAGTTCATGGCAACGTTTTTGCGTCAACCCACCTTCTGTTCGCATTGCCGCGAGTTTATCTGGTAAGTGGAGCACACAGCACACATGATCGTACAGTCGCGGGCTGAGAACATCTCCTCCGTACATCTTTAAGTTGTATCTCTGCAGTGATTAATCTGAACATGCATTTAGTTTCGGGACTTGATTTACACACACAACACCGCTCACCATCTGAACTACTTTTGATTTGATTTGATTCTACTTGGGTTGATCTCTTTACCTCTATATGTTCTTAATGTAAACCACTCTATCCCTCATACACTCATCATCTTTCGGCTCAACATCATCATCTCTTTGGGCTCTTTTTTTTGGGTGGCTCACTCTATTAGCAGTTTTAATTTCCTTGGTTTCCCATCGGCATTAACACTTGGTGGTTTCCTATTTTTGGGCTACAGCTTGGCTGGCGGGTCGCGGGGTCATCGGGTTCACGATCAGCTCGGCCTCATGCTTGGTTTTTCACGGGGCTTCAGGCTCTCATCCATCGAAACACAAAATCGCTCGCACAATTTCACACTCACACAACACACACCAATCATTCAGTTACCCAAAAAATATATATACATACAATAGCCATGGAATTTCTTGCCTTTTTGCAGGGGAATTGGTAAACAAGGCTATCAATGTCAAGGTATGTGTGTTCGCTTCAGACTAAACAAGGAAGGAGCAACCAGGGCAGCTTCAGCCCTGGCGCTTCCAGGGGGAGCTCCCTCCAGGAAGAGCGCCCCCCAAAAAGCTATATCCAATCCAAAAACCATATCACTTTGCATTTGCTTGTTACGTTCGTTCGTTGTTCGTTATTCGTTGTTTGCTGTTGTCGTTGATGTTGTTGCCATTTTGGGGTTTCGCTTTTGATCTTGATTGTTTTTTTTTTAATCGAAACGGAATCAACCCCTCTACATTAGTCCAGTCTTCGTTCGGCATTGTCCAATGCATCAATGCATCACCTACGGCTTGAGTCATGCTTCGCTCGGAACAGGATAACACTCTGGTGTCCTGTCCCCCAATTGCACCACTAATCGATCTGGTCCTGTCCCCATCACATTGCACTTTTGTATCTCACGTATGCGGAGGGAATGCAGACTACTAATTGGATCATCGGGCAGGGTCCTTGGGGGTGTAACCCATTTTTAGTCATTTAGAATTACGAAATAATGTCATTCCATTAAGGTTTATCAGTTTGTCCGTCTGTAACACTTCAATTGATTCTATATGGTCCTGACTTATAGTGCATGCCTTTAAGGGGGTTAAATAAGTCTCAAATATAACTAATCTTTAACCATATAGGTCTACTATTAAATATCTTTGTGAGTTCATTGAAGTGCAGGGGATATGTTACTAGAAAATTATAAATATAGAGACAAAACCAGGATTTAATCTGAGTGAAAATATATATAACTTTCAATAGGCTACAGTTTTCATTTACAGAAAATTGCATTTACGGCTTCATTCTGTGCATTCTCCCCTTTCTACGTAGTTTTGGTTTCAATATATTCATATCTGGCACGAAGCATTGTTTAAATGTTGTGATTAAAACCTTGTGTACACCAAAACACTAATTAGAGCACAGACAACGAGCACACAACTTACCTCCACTGACCAACATACTATTTATGTGGTATAATCACACAATGCACAACAAGAAACTGTCGTCGACAGTTTCTCAACTAATTTCAGAATCTCAATCGTGATATTCAAAGGAGATCCGGAGAGATCCGTAAGAAACTATTGAATGCCACGATTGAGGCACCTTTGTGTCTAACACTGAATGTTTCAACGAGCTTGAGTTAAACGAAATCCTGTAAATATATATTACACATTCGTATGTCTTTAGACTATAGAGTGTAAACTCGGAAAAATGTGGTCCTGATACAAAAATATAAAAATGCTATTTAAAACTCTGTAGATATTTTACAAATTATGATTTGGATAAGAATAACAATTGATAATTCATTGTATACCTTTAAGACCCCTTTATTAATTTCCTATTCTGCACCAGTTTCTGTGCCACCCCTATTTATTTTAATTAAACAAAATTGTTTATCAAAGTAATTACAAGAATCAATAGTTTATCTAGCGACAAATGGTTGTTATTTTCCAATTTTAAATTATAATAAAATGAATCTTAAATATTCATATATCCTAAAAGTAGATTTTAAATCTTAAGGGTCATACTTTAAGATCCTTTTAAGCCCCCAAGTTTTCAGTTACCTCATAAACTTTCTTCACATTAAATAGATTCTTCATATTTTAGCATGTTCTAAGTTTCATTTATTACAATCGGTATATAAGAATTATGTTATCCTTTCGGGCAACATTTTTCCGAGCATCGTTTAGAGTTTTGGAATAATTTGCCCTGCACTCTGCCTCTGTCATCAAAGAATTCCATAAACGTTTGGTGCCGAGTTGTGGATATTAATCGTATACCGCCTTTGATTTCTCTCCCCTAAAAAACAAAACACTTTTAGTCTGCACGTTAGTTGTACATAAAAAATGCCATTTGTCCGTGGTGTCCAAGTGTCCGGGCATGCGAGATGAGGTGAGTCATGTGAATATATTCAGGAACTTCAAGATCCAGCTAACTTAGTTGTGTCCGCAGCAAGCCAAAGTGGAGGTGGTGCCGGCGGGCCAGCGCTTCAACGTGAATTTGCCCCATCGGTTTGTGGTGCACAGCTACAAGAGATTCACCTTCTGCGACCACTGCGGATCGCTGCTCTATGGCCTGATTAAGCAGGGATTGCAATGCGAGACCTGCGGGATGAACGTGCACAAGCGCTGCCAGAAGAACGTGGCCAATACGTGCGGCATCAACACCAAGCAGATGGCCGAGATTCTCAGCTCGCTGGGGATCTCACCGGACAAGCAGCAGCCGCGCCGCTCCAAGTACTTGAACCAGCAGGGCGGCGAGGACAACTATGGTGCCTCCTTGGGACCCGATGGCGATGGCGCTCCGGGCCAGTCCTTCCGCAGTGGCACGCTCTCGGCGGACAGCCTGGCCACCTCCACCACGACGCTGACCAGCGGATACAACAGCAGCAGCTGCATGAGCCTGGCCGTGGGCGGTGCTGGCGGAGGTGGTGCCACCGGAGAGACGCGGCCCGGCAAGTGCTCCTTGCTTGACTTCAACTTCATTAAGGTGCTCGGCAAGGGATCTTTCGGCAAGGTGATGCTCGCCGAGAAGAAGGGCACCGACGAGATCTATGCCATTAAGGTGCTCAAGAAGGACGCCATCATCCAGGACGACGACGTGGACTGCACCATGACGGAGAAGCGCATCCTGGCGCTGGCCGCCAACCATCCCTTCCTGACTGCGTTACATTCCTGTTTCCAGACCCCGGACCGCCTCTTCTTCGTAATGGAGTACGTTAACGGCGGTGACCTGATGTTCCAGATACAGAAGGCGCGCCGATTCGAGGCCGCCCGGGCGGCCTTCTATGCAGCAGAGGTGACACTGGCATTGCAGTTCCTCCACACCCATGGCGTTATCTACCGCGACCTGAAGCTGGACAACATCCTGCTCGACCAGGAGGGCCACTGCAAGCTGGCCGACTTTGGTATGTGCAAGGAGGGCATCATGAACGGCATGCTGACTGCCACATTCTGCGGCACGCCCGACTACATTGCCCCGGAGATCCTTAAGGAGCAGGAGTATGGCGCTTCCGTCGATTGGTGGGCGCTGGGTGTCCTCATGTACGAGATGATGGCCGGCCAGCCTCCGTTTGAGGCCGATAACGAGGACGAGCTCTTCGACTCGATTATGCACGACGACGTCCTATACCCAGTTTGGCTGTCCCGCGAGGCCGTCTCCATTCTTAAGGGTACGAATATCTCCAAAGTCTATCCTTAGTAGCTCTATGTGAACCGTTTTCTATAATGATAATCCTTGATTTTTGCAGGTTTTCTAACCAAAAATCCGGAGCAGCGACTGGGCTGCACTGGCGACGAGAACGAGATACGCAAGCATCCATTCTTTAACAAACTGGACTGGAAGGAGCTGGAGAAGCGCAACATAAAGCCACCATTCCGACCGAAAATGGTTAGTAACCATGATTTCTTTTGAGAATTTTAAACTAAAACTCTATTTTATTTGTAGAAAAATCCACGCGATGCCAACAACTTTGATGCTGAGTTTACGAAGGAGGATCCAGTGCTGACACCGATCGGTAACGAGGTAATTCGCTGCATCAACCAGGATGAATTCGCGGGCTTCTCGTTCGTGAATCCAAAATTCGGACCGGAGCGCAAAGTGTACTAAGAAGGCCCCCAACGATCGAATTTCATGTTCACCATGTTCACTTGGATGGGCTGGATGAGACTGGGTATCCCGGTTAGCTGGCCCAACCCAGATCGCTCCAAATCGTCGTCGTCCGGTCATATCCGGTCGTTCGGTGTCTAGCGCATCTTCCCAGCACAGTCTAGTTTATCGTTTATTGTTTATCGTTATCATTTTCATTCAACTCCCCCCGGTGAACGCTTTATTGTTGTCTGTTTCTGTTGTAGTCCACTCGTAGTCGTTGTCCTCCCAGACCCCTTTTCCTCCCAGAGTAGGATCATCCACATCCACATTCAACTACCAGTGCCAATTGTCGCGAAACTGCTAAGCTTCAACTTGATTTAAGGCGCACACCACAAGGACAATGCAAATTGTTCCGAATTATCCCCACGATGAAGTCAGAAAGTAGTGCTGCAAATGAATCGATGTTTTTGTATGGAAAACCCGATTCGAAATCATCGATGTTCTACCAGTTCTGTACCCAAAAACGTAGCCTATTCCTGTTTAAATTTATTTATGTTGTTTGCCAACGAAAAAGATATCCCCCACACCCATACCCAAACCCACACACATCCATCTAGTCAATGCCCAGTGGCTGAGTGCATTTTGTTATTAGTTATTTATTGATTGTTCGATTGATGTGCCGAATCTCAAGTTTCGCACTGACAGCATCCGACAGCATCCAGGCAGAGAGCGAGGCACTTGCTCCAAGCGAATCTCAAGGGAATTTCAAAACACAATAGCCGCAATGTGCCGTCTCTACCACACACACACACTCAGACACACAAAGTACACAATATTTAATTTCGAGTTTGAAATCTTGCACAACTTCCTTCTCAAGTATTAAAGCGATATTATTTTAAAATTATTACCTTATTGTTATACATAAATATTTATAAAACAACAAAAAAATGAAAAGAAACAAAGCGAAAATCAAGCCAAAAACCCCTCTAATACAAAGCGCATACAATTTACCAACAAAGAGAAAAACGTATAGCTAAACTAATCATAGAAATAAATGCTAAAAACCTACAAAGAGAATGTCTTTGAAAATTCATATTAATTTATGCTAAAAACAAATTATGAATACAACCCAAACAACCAATGTGTTTAGACTGTAAGCGAAGGAGGAGAAAAAGCATATTATATATAAAGTATATAATATATGAAACATATATAAATTGTGAAACTAAAGGCATATATATATAATACACACCACACAAAACACGCCCACAAGAAAACAAAACAAAACACTTAGCGTAATGAGGGAAATCCGTCAACAATTATTATATGAATATATATGAAATTATGTGGCATAGGATGAATAAGAGAAAAAAACAATATTCGCGGTTATTATGTGTTAATTTGAAAGCCAAAGACTCAAAGCTAAATATTCTATTTGAACTAACCCGAGGCAAGTTTTTAGCATACCGCATCGAAATTGGATCAGTATCATTTAAATGTTATTACTATTACTATTATTATTTAATCTACGACTAATTTCGTGTGTTTTCTGTTTTGATTTCCATCTATCGCTGGAAAAGAGATCACTAAAAGTATATATTTAATAATAAATCGATGGGAATAGCAGAGAAAGCAAGGATAACAAAAGATTTATTAACTATTAAGCAGCGTTGTTAACTAAAAGAACAAAAATAAGCAAAAAACAGATGAAGTGTATGGCAAAGGCAAGCGCAAAAACACACATTTGTATGTAATTATAAAGAGCCCAGTGTCTAATAATATTTGTGAAATAGCAAAAACAACCCGACGTAAGCGCTAGTTATCCACTTACAATTTAAATGTTAACCCAAAGTATTTTCAAGAACGCATTTTACCAAAGAATAAATAACAAACAAAGGAGTAAGCCAGGAGATGAAGGAGGTTGGAGTATAGGCAAAATGTTAAAGGCTATTAATAATTTTTTAAACAATGCGCTCAAATCGCCAGTCGATCGAAGCCGTTGCCAGGCTGGATAGAGGCGCGTATTCAATTAAAAGATACACATATATATATAAAACAAAACAGAAAAACGCATCCAGCCAACAAGATAATGATGATCATGATGAGGAGACCGAACGAGGGATCAGAGGATTATGTAGGTGTCAAGATAGTTGAAAAATCCACTGGTTGTTGTTGAACAAAGAACAGACAAAAGTTAATTGAGAAGGAGCAGGATTAAATATACTATAATAGGAGCCAGAGGAGGAGGAAACAGAAAAGGAAATAACAAATCGCGTAACCGTAACCTGACAAATGCAAGTTAAAGTTATAGGACAAATGTGCAACCAAATGTTAGCTATAAGCTCACTCTCTAAATATATGCAAAAGCTGAACGATTCCCAGCCCCCATCTACTTGGTCCTTTCGCTTGCCAAAGGTCCTGACCCTGGACCAGGCTCTGAACGTACTCACTCCTTGGCTCAACACGATCAGCTTAGCTAAACTTTTTCTGGGGCCGCACAGGCTCAGGCTCTCACCAAGGCAACACTCACTCTGACAAAGAAACCAACTTACATACATATGTGCAACTTTTTCACGTACCTTTCGCATCTTAGAGATACTTAAAAGAAACTTATTAAACGGAAAAGCCCCCGAAATCATTGTCTACAAATTGTTAACTGATCTAAGACAAAGAACTACACACACTCACGAACTACTAAGGAAATATATTAAATAATTTATTATTGATCGGTGGCGTAGAAAACTAAAGCGCGATATGGTTTTATTGGAAGGAGCTGCGCAGATCATTGCAAGCGAATTAATCATTAGCAGAAAGAAAGCAAAGTATTCAGAAACCCACAAAAAAGCACAACACACAGCAGTCGAAGTAGAAGAAGAACCAGACTAAAACACAGAGGAAAATGCATAAAGTCTAAGTTATGTTTAAACCAGAGATAAATAACTGTAACGGTAAAGTCGAAAGTCAACAGTTGATATGTTGTAAAAAAGCTATTAAATAAAACAAAAAAAAAAAGGAAAGTTTACCAAGGCAGGCAGGAAGGAGTGGGCAGAATTGAATGTTAAAGAAGCTACTAAATAAATGGTATATGTAAGCAGATGTGTGCAAAAGATAACCAAAGAAAGCAAAATTGAAAACAAGAAATTGATTTATAACATTAAGTGAAAACTAATTAATAAATAAAGAGAGGTAACACCTATGAAAAATGTAACCAATTGTGTTTCAATTTAACTAAATAATAACGCGTAAAAAAGTATTACAATTTGTTTATTTACTTTATTTATTCTTTTTGTTTTAAAAAATAACAAATCCAATTTAGCAAATTCTCCATATAAATATGGTTCTGTGTACCAGGCGAACAGAACAGTTCGCAAGCAGCTGAACGGCTGATTTAAAATTGCAAAAGTAACGGATCTTAAAAGAGAGGAACGTGAAGATCTTCTTCTCTGATTGGTCAATTCAAACGTAAACAAACGGCAGCCATTAGGTTAATTCAAATGTAAACAAAGGTCGCCATTAAAAACACCTGAAGTAACGGTTCTTAAACGTGAAAACCCTCTCTTATTGGTCAATTCAAACGTAAACAAAGAGCGGCCATTAGGATCTGGAAAGCTGAAAAGGTCCGCTATGTGCAGCACTGCTGTGTGCTGCTGGGTTGCTGTCATCTGTTTCTGTTTGCCTGGTAACACCAATTGTTGAATTAGTCTGAATACAGCCCAAATTTGTGAGAAATAACAACAAATCCAACAACACATGTAGCTGAATTAACTCAATTCTCTGTTCAACTCGTGTCTTTACGTACCAGGCGAACATAACATTTTGCAAGCAGCTGACCGACTGATTTCAAAGTCCAAAAGTAACGGATCTTTAAAGAGAGGGATGTGCAGATCTTCTTCTCTGATTGGTCAATTAAAACGTAAACAAAGGGCGGCCATTAGGTTAAATTCAAATGTAAACAAAGGGCGCCATTAAAATGTCCTAAAGTAACGGATCTTAGTAGAGGTGAACGTAAAGATCTTCTCTGATTGGTAAATTCAAACGTAAACAAAGAGCAGCCATTAGGGTCTGGAAAGCTGAAAAGGTCCGTTATGTGCAGCACTGCTGTGTGCTGCTGGGTTGCTGCCGTCTGTTTCTGTTTGCCTGGTAACACCAATTGTTGAATTAGTCTGAATACAGCCCAAATTTGTGAGAAATAACAACAAATCCAACAACACATGTAGCTGAATTAACTCAATTCTCTGTTCAACTCGTGTCTTTACATACCAGGCGAACATAACATTTTGCAAGCAGCTGACCGACTGATTTCAAAGTCCAAAAGTAACGGATCTTTAAAGAGAGGGATGTGCAGATCTTCTTCTCTGATTGGTCAATTAAAACGTAAACAAAGGGCGGCCATTAGGTTAAATTCAAATGTAAACAAAGGGCGCCATTAAAATGTCCTAAAGTAACGGATCTTAGTAGAGGTGAACGTAAAGAACTTCTCTGATTGGTCAACTCAAACGTAAACACAGGGCGGCCATTAGGTTAGTTGAAAAGTAAACAAAGAGCGGCCGTTAGGTTCTGGAAAGCTGGGTTGCTGCCAATTAAAATTTATGCTTTTATTGTTTATGGCCTTATGACCTTCTAAATTGCAAGGGTATTTAAAATCCGGCTTCCCGAAGTTCGTTTTCTTTCTGGTTAAGTTAACAGATCGTTTACAGAGTCTATTCCGATAAGTTATCGGGGACAGTGCTCATCACTAACAGCTGGTAACTAACAGCGCACATGTTGCCATCAAAAGAAGAAGAAGCAGCACATTCAAAACAAATAAATATTTGTTTAATTTTAGCAAATTTTAGAAAGATAAACAAGTGCTAGCCAAAATGCCAAAGGTGAAATCGGAAAAGAAAACCCGCATCCACACCGAGGTGCAGAAGCAGGGTGAGTATATTCGGTAAATCAACCAAAATACCAAAAGTAAACATTTTGCACCAAACCAGGAATCGTATTCAACAAGGACTTTGGCCAGCACATTCTGAAGAATCCGCTGGTGATCACCACCATGTTAGAGAAGGCAGCCTTGCGCGCCACCGATGTGGTGCTGGAAATCGGTCCCGGTACCGGCAACATGACCGTACGGATGCTGGAACGTGCCAAGAAAGTAATCGCCTGCGAAATTGACACTCGGCTAGCGGCCGAGCTGCAGAAGCGCGTCCAGGCGACGCCGCTGCAACCAAAACTGCAGGTGCTCATCGGTGACTTCCTTAAGGCAGAGCTGCCCTTCTTCGATCTCTGCATTGCCAACGTGCCGTACCAGATCAGTTCACCGCTAATTTTCAAGTTGCTGCTCCACCGCCCGCTCTTCCGTTGCGCCGTTCTCATGTTTCAGCGTGAGTTTGCTCAGCGCCTGGTGGCCAAGCCGGGCGACAAGCTCTATTGTCGCCTGAGCATTAACACCCAGCTGCTGGCCCGCGTCGACATGCTCATGAAGGTTGGAAAGAACAACTTCAAGCCGCCACCAAAAGTCGAATCGAGTGTGGTTCGCCTGGAGCCAAAGAACCCTCCGCCGGCAGTCAACTTCACCGAGTGGGATGGCCTCACGCGTATCGCCTTTTTACGCAAAAACAAGACTCTGGCAGCCACCTTTAAAGTCACCTCCGTGCTTGAGATGCTCGAGAAGAACTATAAGCTGTATCGTTCGCTGAGAAACGAGGTGAGTTTATTCATATTTTTTTAATCATATTTTTCGATGTAGATTGTTATAATAATATTTAATATGAAGAGAATATTTATATGTATTTATTAATTGTCATGTTTATTTTCCCACAGCCCGTCGAAGATGATTTTAACATGCAAAACAAAGTCATTGGCATCTTGGAGGAGTTGGACATGGCCACCAATCGTGCGAGAAGCATGGACATTGACGACTTCATGCGGCTCCTTATGGCCTTTAACTCCGCGGGAATACACTTCAATTAGTCATATTTTGTTTATTTAAGCATGTTAAACATTGTACAATATTAACACCCACAATAATATACATAAACGTTAAGCCAATGAACTTTAGTTAACATTGTTATGAAAACCGGTAGGTTTATTTCTGGTACAGTATATATCGGATAAAGCAACCAATGTAAGCTTGCAGTTTATTGTGGGTGTTTGTATTTTACCTTATCTTTTGGGAATTTTCAGGGATTGGATTTAATTATAATGAATTTTAATCGAATTATTATGTGTACCTCCGCATCGACTACACCAAAGTGAATTTAAATCTGATCAGCTGATGTACATAGTAGAGAGGGATTCACTGACAAGTTCAACTGCGCAATTAAAAACTAGTTGATTAACAGCTTCGAATCGATCAGTCGCCGGCCGATCGCCTCCCACTGCAGTACGAGAGCGAATCAAGATCATGTCAATCCATTCACTTGGAACGCTCTTGGTGCTATTTAGCGGTAGCCTTGTTCTCGGCCAGAACCCGGATCCAGCCGCGGAGAAATGTGAGTGTTTACAAATTTTTTATTATTATTTGAATTCATTTTTTTTTTTTCCCTTAGCTTGCACATTTTTCAAGAAGACAGTCTTTGAGCAGAGAATTCCTATAAGCCCCTTTTTTCCCAATGCACCGATTACATATCATACACTCGACTCCTGCAGTGGGTCGCGACCCCTGATAGTGGACGGGACACCGGCGGAACCCAAAGAATTCCCACATGCAGCGAGGCTGGGCCACCGGGATGCTAATAATGAAATTAAATGGTTCTGTGGCGGCACCTTGATCAGCAATCGCATTGTGCTCACAGCGGCACACTGTTTCTATACCAATTTGTACGTACATCTGAGGAGAATTTTCCAACCTCTCCCTTGCAAAAATAATGATAATGTATAAACTCCTTTTTTTGCAGAGGAGCGGTCAACGTGGTCCGGTTGGGTGAGCTTGAATTCGACACTGATACGGACGACGCTGAGCCCGAGGACTTCGGCGTGTCGCGGCTTATAGAACACGAAGAGTATAGGGATCCGGCCCTCTATCACGACATTGGCATGGTGCGGCTCGATCGGGAGGTGAAGTTCAACCTGTACAAACATCCCGCCTGCCTGCCCTTCGACGACGGCGAGCAGCACGAGACTTTCATTGCAATCGGTTGGGGCCAGAAGGCGTTCGCTAGGAAGGAGTCCAAGAAGCTACTAAAGGTTCAGCTGCGAGGCTATGGGCAGCGGTGTCTGGAAACCACAGATGCGAACGAAGAGTTGCCCAATGGCTTTAACACCACCATTCAGCTGTGCATCGGATCGAAGGACAACAAGGACACCTGCAACGGAGACTCTGGCGGTCCGGCATTGGCCTATCACAAAGTGTTTACTTGCATGTACCATGTAATGGGCATCACCTCGGGGGGAGTCAGTTGCTCCACACCCGATATACCCAGCGCCTATACGAGGGTCCACTACTACCTCGACTGGATCAAAAGGGAGTTGGCGAAGACCTCGTAGAGTCAATCGAGTTATGAAGTTATGTTTAATTTAACTAAATAGCGAATTTTCTTTTCTTAGAAAGGAATAAATGTAGAAAATAAAAAATGTAAATGTACGATTTATTCAAACTTCCCAGACCGGTTTGGTGTGCTCAAGTCATAACTTAAATTTCATAGAATAAGATCTGGTTTTAATTCCACAAAAAGCAGTTTTCATTTGTGTTTCCATTGTTGATTTTTGAATAAATATTTTAACTTATGTTTAAGTATACTAAATATACCGTTACGTGACTCCTTATATATCAGATATATCAGTGCAATAGTAACCTTTTGAAGACCTTCAAGTACTGCAAATATTTAAAACCCGGAAAACTGGCTTTGTTTTGTATATTGCTTCGGGTTGGTCAAGTCGTGAGCATTGAATATATGTATGAATGCTCAATACTTGTAGTGTAAGCCCCTATAATTTATTCAATTTCTTATCAATACTCAGACTTTCCCAGTATTTAATGGCTCTCCTGCGATGCACTTCAGAACCCAAAACCGAATCGAAACTCTCGTAAGACAGGCTTTATGATCATTGGCGATAACGCTGTCAGTAGCTAACACATCGTAGAGGCAGCCAGACGATGAAATCTGAAATGTATTTCAGGCTGGGATTAACATTGCTGGTTCTATCTGTTCAGCTGGTGACCTGTCAAGATCCGGACCTAGTGAGAAGTGCGCGTGTTTTCATATTCTGGGTGATCTATGCTAAGATATACTCTCTACAGCCTGCACCGCCTACAAAAAGGATGTTTGGGAGGAGACATCTGAGTTCAGACAGCTTATGGAGGGCTCAGCGCCGATCTACAAGACCGAGGACAAGTGCACCAGCTATGCACCCCTCATAGTTGGAGGCGCACCAGCCTCACCCAAGGAGTTCCCTCACGCCGCCCGGCTGGGCCACCGCGATGAGAATGGCAAGACGAATTGGTTTTGTGGTGGAACTCTTATAAGCAACCGTCATGTGCTTACGGCAGCCCATTGCCACTTTGGCGAGGAGTATGTATATAGATAATATATATTACAACATACTTATAATATGTAAATTTATAGCACGGGCTCTGTTAATATTGTTCGGCTCGGTGAACTAGAGTTTGACACTGACGCCGACGACGCTGATCCTGAGGACTTTAGCGTAAAGGACCACACGTTGCATCCCGGCTTCGATCATCCCGCTCTTTACAATGACCTGTCCATTATACGGCTGACTAGGACTGTTTCCTTTAACGAGTATAAGCATCCTGCATGTCTTCCGTTTAGCGACGGAAAATCGGACACGGCCTTCGTCGCCATCGGCTGGGGACAAAGAGAGTTCGTTCCTCGGCTTGGTGCGGAAACCAAAAAACTCCAGAAGGTTAAGCTCTTTAACTATGGCACTCGCTGCTCTATAACCGCGGAGAAAAATATAGAGCTGCCCGATGGGTATAATGCCACCACCCAAATCTGTATTGGGTCACCGGAAAACAAGGATACCTGCAACGGCGACTCTGGCGGACCGGTACTGACCTACCATAAGCAATATCCTTGCATGTATCATGTAATGGGTATCACCTCAGTTGGAGTTGGCTGCGACACACCCGATGTACCCGCCATGTACACTAGGGTGCACTTCTACCTCAACTGGATCAAGCAGGAGCTGGCCAAAACGTAACGACATGAATTTGCTAAATATTTCTGACTCCAAAAAGCTTCTAAATAAATGTAAAAACAATAACTACGATCGAACAGGTAAAGAATTTACTCAACCAATCAACCCCTTCCATTAATTATCGTGTTTTAATTTGCATATTCTTTTAATATACGAGTAAACAAATAGCTTTTATATCGCGCTAAACGTTTCCGAAGAACCCGCTGGGAGAGCGGGAGATTTTTGTTGGCTTTTACCCGATTGAACCTTCGTCTGTGAACCGCAGCTAAGATTGATCGGAAGCCAGCAGATCGATCGATCAGTAACTGATTGGGAGTGAAACCCGTTCGCAACGAATTGAAGCGGTGTAGACCTCGGGGAGAGTAGCTCTCAGTTGATCTCCGATCTAAGGTAGAGATGTGGTCTTCTCTGCTCACTACCCTCTTGGTAATTCTGCTGGCATGTGTATTTGGCCAGCATCCGGATATAGTCAAATGTGAGTGCACCAAATACGTAGTATCTTAAAGATATATGCCTAGAAAATCATATTTTTATACTACATTTATATTTTAAGCTTTAGAACTTTCTTAATGGGCTAATAATAGTCTCAAAGTCATATAATACTATTGATAATTCCGCCCTAGCTTGCACGAGATACAAGAAGACCGTGTTTGATGAAACAGTCCACTATGGATTACTCCTACCCGGAGCCGCGACTCTTAGCCGGGTCATCGACAATTGTCGTAGTTATTCGCCTCTTATTGTGGGCGGTCATCCGGCTCAGGCCCGGGAATTTCCGCACATGGCTCGCTTGGGACGACGCCAAGATCTGGGCATTGACTGGTTCTGCGGCGGTGTTTTAATCAGTGAAAGCTTCGTCCTTACAGCTGCCCACTGTCTGGAATCGGAGAAGTAGAATTTAAAATCTAGAAAATCTCAAAATTTATTTTAAAATTACGAAATCCTTACAGAGGAGAGGTGAATGTGGTGCGTCTAGGCGAATTAGACTTTGATTCGTACTTAGACGACGCTGCTCCCCAGGACTATAATGTGTCTGGGTACATTACCCATCCGAATTATGAGGATCCAGAGTTTTACCACGACATAGGAATGATCAAACTGAATGAGAATGTGATCTTTGATATTTATAAGCACCCAGCGTGTCTGCCATTTCAGGATGATCAGTCCAAAGACACTTTTATTGCCGTTGGATGGGGAAGCACGGATCTGGCTGGGAAACCCTCAGCCAAATTGCTGAAAGTGAAGCTAGATCGCTACGCAGAGAAGGTAAGAATAATTTGACTTATCCAACTGGTCCGGAATCGAGGCACTTATCAGTTATCCTGTAGGTTTGCATGAGACTCTTAGCCCGGCAAGTGGAGGAGTATCCAAGAGGATTTGATGCGCGAAACCAACTCTGTGTGGGTTCCGATATGGCCCGAGATACGTGCAACGGCGATTCGGGAGGGCCTCTGCTGATATACCATCTTGAATATCCTTGCATGTACCATGTCATGGGAATCACATCGGCGGGTCTGACCTGCGGCACTCCCGGAATCCCTGGAATATACACTCGCGTTTATCCCTACTTGGACTGGATAACCCGAACAATGGCCAAGTTTTAAGAGTTTTAATAAAACAAAAACCCGTTAGTGTTATTAAAAACGTAAATTATAAAATATAAATCAAATTAAATGATATAGATTGAATTACATTGCATTTTGAATTTAAACTTTTTAAAAGCACGAAGTGAGTGATGCATCCCTAAGCTATCGATAACTAGCATCTATCGATACGGACATCGATAGTTGTTTACCTTTTTTTCCAAAAAAAAGAAACATTTACAAAACAGAATTTTGTCCCACAATTTGTCGAATTTCATCGCTAATAAAATGTAATCGGTTATACAGCGCCGGAAACTGTATCACACTTGGCCATTGCCCGCATCTTTCCCGTTCCCGGCCGTGGTGCACATTAATTCTGTTTCCCGCATATATACCTGAGATTGCCAAATTGTGCCGGACCAGCCAGGACCATGGAGCTGGAACGCGAAAAGGAGCAGGAGCAGCAGATTGAGCTAGAGCAGAAGCAGGAGATGGATGTGGCGCAGTCTTATATAACCCGGGCCAAGATGAACCCGGCCAAGAAGGACAACGAGAAACGGCGACGCAAGGATGCCATGCGAAGGGTAATTAAAGTCCGCCATAGTATGTGTGTGTATGTGTGCGCTGGTGATATGAGTGTGTGTATGCTCGTATCCTGATAGGAAGTGGTCCAATTTGTCCAGTTCAGAGAGACTAAATTACCATTATTGATGGAAATTGAAAATTTAAATAATATGTACTTAAAAAATACATTAATAGAACCCCCTTTGACGGTCATTACTTTCACTGCTTTTGCTAATCCCTCCTACATTTCAGGTCTCGATGATTTTGAAAAAGTGTGACTCGCTCCGCTCAGCGGATGACCGACAGTTTCTCGATAAACATCCGGATATGGTTAAGGCGACCAAGAAGCGTAAGGAGCGCGTGGAGATCTACAAGGAGAGGGTAGTGGAGCGCGAGGATGCGCCGCACGTGATCGAGGCAAAGGTGGAGCAGCTGGCCAACATCATATCGCAGGCAAAGCACTTAGTTTGCTATACTGGCGCAGGTATCAGCACAGCGGCATTGATTCCGGACTATCGTGGCAGTCAGGGCATTTGGACGCTGCTGCAGAAGGGTCAGGATATTGGAGAGCATGATCTATCCAGCGCAAATCCCACCTACACGCATATGGCCCTGTACGAGCTGCACCGCCGTCGACTCCTTCATCATGTGGTATCACAGAACTGCGATGGCCTGCACCTGAGATCCGGATTACCGAGGCATTCGCTGTCCGAGATCCATGGCAACATGTATGTGGAAGTGTGCAAGAACTGCCGTCCAAACGCCGTCTACTGGCGTCAGTTTGACACCACAGAGATGACCGCCCGCTACTGCCACAAGACCCACCGGCTGTGTCATCGATGCTCGGAGCCCCTGTACGACACCATCGTTCACTTTGGGGAGCGAGGCAACCTCAAGTGGCCGCTGAACTGGGCGGGAGCCACGGCGAGTGCAGAGCGAGCGGATGTGATTCTCTGCCTTGGATCCAGCCTTAAAGTACTCAAGAAATACACATGGCTGTGGCAGATGGATCGTCCGGCGCGCCAGCGGGCCAAGATCTGCGTGGTTAACCTGCAGTGGACGCCCAAGGACGCAATAGCCAGCATCAAGATCAATGGCAAGTGCGATCGGGTGATGGCGCAACTGATGCACCTCCTCCACATTCCAGTGCCCGTTTACACCAAGGAAAAAGACCCGATCTTCGCACATGCTTCGCTCCTGATGCCCGAGGAGCTTCACACACTCACGCAACCGCTGCTAAAGAACGCCGACGAAGAAGAGGCCTTTACAACAACCACCGAGGAGACGCAGGATTCGACTATCTCCAGCGAAAGTTGCAGCTACAATTATAGCGATCTGCCCATCGGAAAGGGACCGCGCATCCGTACGCCCATTAAGAACGGACGACGGGTGAAGACCAATCTGGAACTTCGTCAGAAATATAAGTTACCCAATGGTCAGGATGAGGAAATCAAGGTGGAGCAACTGGACACCAATGGTGGGGTGAAGAAAGAGGAGAAGAACGGCACCATTCTACAACTGGAGACGACGGAGACATCTGTTAAAATAGAGACTGATGAGGTTAAACTAGAAGTAATCGACAGCCAGGTGACCTTCGTAAAACAAGAGCTGCATCTGCTTGAGCTCTTGCCCAAGCTGGAACCATTGTCCCTCAAAGAGGAAGCAGAGGAATCAGTAGAGACGCAGGTAGTGGTGGCCAATGGTCAACTGGAGCTGCCCAAGCTAGTTGCCATTCAGAAATCTACTGTGGCAAGTAGTACCGAACTCCCGATTGAGGTGAGACTAGAACCCATGGAATTGCCACCGCTGGTGCCTATTGGAGCACCCCTGAGTACGCCGTTCGTTGAGCCCAAAATTGTACTGCCACCTGCCTTTCAGGCGCTTAACATACAAGCCCAGAGCGACTCCAGCACAGAACACGACGAAGAAGAGGAGGAAGAGGAGCAGGAGGATCAGGAAGATGAAAATATCCTCGCGCAAGTGGATTTACTGAGGCAGAACACTGATGAAGAACTCCTCCGCCAGCTTCCAAGCTGGTACGACGCGAAGTACGCGTATTCTGGCCTGCACAGCATTCTGATACCGCCGCCAGCGGATCTCAATATCTGGAACTTGCAGGTGGTGCCCAACTTTGCCATGAACCGCTCCGCCGCCAGCTGTGACTTCTGCTTCGATCGCTATGCCGAGCTGGAGTGCCAATTCTATCGCCGCTGGAACCTCAATCAGCGCAAGCACAAGAAACGCGCCAGAAGCGGCCGGTTCGTGGTCTGCGAGTGCTGCCCCACATCTGATGATGACGATGAATACGACGAGAATATATCCTTGGCGCACATTGCGGCCGCGGAGACGGCCAAGCGAAGGCAACAGCTGAGCACTAGTTTTCCCCGAAAGCTGGCACGCACCCAGGCCGGGTGGTACGGCAAGGGCTATAAGAAGGGACGCAAGCGACGTTAGATGATATGGAAATCTTCCTCCCAATAAACAAGGATGGGTTGATTTCGATAGCTGAAAACCAATTAATCTATTGGGGAACAAGACGGTTTTTTTAACTAAAGGTTTTGCGTTAAAACCTAGTTTCTCTTATGGTAGCTGTACGATATCGACCCAACCTTATCCGAGATATGCATACGCCCGCTTCAATAGTATTTTAGCTGTGTAGGATCATAAGTCATAGTATAGGCTAGGGTTCCGTTTTCATAATTTATACATTTATGTATTTTAAGGCGTCAGCATCCCGTGTGTCCTTGTTATTTGAAGGAATGATCCTGTAAAATATTAATGTAATGTCGCTCAGTTTTTGTCCTTATAAGTTAACTATTTAAGTCATCAAGTTTAAGTAGTGTTTTAATTTGTGTACTTTGCCCGTCACTATTGTGAAACAGAGATATTGTTTCACCGAGTATCAATTTGAGTATCAATTAATTGAGTAGTTTTTATGAGTTTACATGCATATGTGTTTTACTTTGAGTCAATTTTATTCGGTTTAACTTAACGCACGTGCACGTGTTCCAACTCCAACTTCCGCCCTTTATTTTTGTAAGTTGAATAAACAAGGCAAGCATTTTGCTGTAATGATATGCAGTCATGTTTAATTTGGACGACTAGTTGGGACTCTTAAAGAAATACATTTGAACAGAAGGTTGCTATGCGACAGAAGTTATTTAAAATTATTAAAAAGAAGTAGTCCAGCTACTAAACTAATCGTCGCAGAGTTTTATATAAATATCAATCTGATCTAATCCTTCCCATTATCTGAGAAGAGAGTACAACTCTCAAAAATACACATCTTATCCTATTTAAACTTCGAGTCTTCCCATCTAAAGAATAATGCTGTGGATTCGCTTTCATTATCTGAGTAGAACCAAGTTTATTCATTAACTTAAAATGTAAAGTATTGCTATATTTTAGTTGTGGTTGTTTAGCGATCGCGTGTTTGTGTATTGTGAGTGTTTGCGTGTGAGTGTTTATGCATTCCATGCTGGGAGAGGACCGGACCTCGGGAGGCTTATTTCCCTATGTGACTGAGTGCGTCGTCTTACGCAGAACATTGCAAAAATACCCAAGAATCAACAGAAGACGACCATGCAACGGAAACAAACAAGGGAGACGAACTACACACGAAGAAAACAGCAAGTTGATTAGATTAACGCTATCGATCGATAAATATTCAAGGGGCAGGGTGCGGGCATGGGCACAAAATTTCCAGGGGCCTTTTGGGGGTGCACTTAATCGCACGAAACATAATACCTAGATCTACGCCTTAAAAGCCAATGGAGCTAGTTGGGCCGAATATAAAAATACAAAGATTTCACAAAATATGAATACAGATATGAATACAGACGTGGAGGAGATGTGAAAAGCGGGCGCCGGACTGAAATGCCTGCCGATATAAATGCTCTGAGGACGCAATGTCAGCAGCTCGAATCTCGATTCCATTATATAATACAATTGATCCAATTCCACAGTTAGAAATATAGGTTGCGTGCGTGCTTTGAGCACGTCTCGGCATTGAGATTAAAATCGCCGCAACGACGACGTGTGAGGGGAATGGAAATGGATATTGGGAATGATTGCTTAGACGGGGACTGAGACTAGAGCCTGGAACCTGGAGCAGCATCTGGGATAGCAAACATCCTAGGCCACATAGATGAACATGTTGATGTCGTCGTCGTCGCGCCTCATGTACTTGTGCTCTATAAGCCACTCCAGCTGCTCCTTGATCATCTTCTTGGACGGCAGGAACATGTTCTTCAGTATATCGATAAGTTCGCCCTGCAAGCACAAAAAGAATAAGTCTTTGCCAAAAAAACGTTTAAAGGCACTCTTAAACTATTACCTGCAGCGCTGCGTTGTTCATCCGCTTGCGCACCTTCATAATCTTGATAATGGCCTCCTGGGTTCGGAGGATGCGTAGCTGCACAATAGACTGATTGTCCTCCTGCTGCGACCGTTCCGTGCTTAGTTGCAGGCGCCCAATCAGGTTGAGCTATATGAAATTGATAATCAGAATAGGGTTAAAGTCACCTGGAATTGATCTATACTAGCAGACATGGTCTTCATACCTTTCCACGCCGTTGTGATTTGCCATTCTTGACGATTGCGAATTCCTGATTGATATAGAACATTGTGTTTTCAGCAAAATCCTTGGGCGAGTTAATTGCCGTTGGCTCCATCAGCAGTATTTGCTTTTTGATTTTGGGAAAGGCCACCAGCGACCACAGCGTTCGTCTCAGTTCGGGATCTTTAACAGAAAGCAGGAGGTATTTGTAAGCTCAGACTGCCTAAATTTAAAACATTGAAACCTTACCTGGCAATTCGGTGGCCAAGCGGAGGTTCTCATAGGAGATCTTGTCGTGCTGCCGCTGATTCCAGGCAAACAGTACGGCCATTTGGAAGGTGGTCACGTCCAGATCATAGCGACCGAAGTTGTTCACAAAGGTGATGGTGCCGTTGCTCATGTGATGATACCACTGCAGCTTGCGGCCGGAATGCTTCTTCTTGTAGAACTCCTCCACATCGGGGATATAGTCCTCCAGTTCAATGGGAAGCGACACTGACACGCGCTCCGAGCAGCGTGCCCAGGCCCCGGCATTGAGTATTTTAATGTTTATAGCATCGTGGCGACTTATCGAGCTGCGGAATTGTGTATTCAAATCCTCACTGACCTTTATGTCCTGGAACATGCGTGCCAGCCGATTGACGTAATCCGCTGGCATGCCCACCTCGCGCAGCCACTCAACAATGTCCTCTTCTTTTTCGCTATCCGCACTGGTGCCGAGAATCAGGCTAAAGGAATTATACAGCATTCGTAGAGTACAAGTTCTGATTAGATTTGGGAAATTAAACTCACCGCCTTGTCAAGTGAACCTTGTGGTAACGCATAAAGACGTCCTTGTTGTTCACGTATTTCAGGACAAGCAAAACGTCGCGCAGGCGTGCGTCAATCTGCTCGCTAGTGAGACGCTTGCTGAGCGGTGTGCGACGCAACAGCATGTCGCAATAGTTGGCTAACAGTTCCGGACACTTGCTCTCCGGCGCCGTGTACTTAACTCCTCGATTGGCTATGCTCGTAGGCAGCTCCATCTTGAACACGCTGGTGTCGTTTACCACCGTCTTAAAGGCGATGTCACGGGCGGTGAGAAAGCGGGGATCATCGTTGAAAGCGTTGCGCACCAGGTCGCTGAACTTGTTAAACAGCTCCAGCAGCCGCTCCACATACTTCTCAGAGTCTTGGGTAATCACCTCGGACGCAGAGAGCATATCAGCCAGACCCGCGGATTGGATGTGCCGCTGCAGGTCACTCATCATTGCTTCTACACCGACGCCGTGCAGGACGCGGTCCATTAGTCGGAACATGAGATTCAGGCGCTCCGTTTCATAATCCCTAATCAAAGCCGGACACTCCGCAATGATGGAGTTTAGGTGATCAACAATTAGCACCTTGACCAGCGTGTAGGTGAGTATGCTAAAACTGCTAGGCTCTAGATACCGCTTGGCTCGCACCTCCTCTTCGCGCAGCTTGGCATCTGCGTACTTCATGTACGCCAGCACTCCGTTCTCCTGCTGCTGCTCCGCGGACTTGAGGCGATAGAATTCGGCTGTGGCCTTCAAGTAGGCCAACTCGAAGTTCTCCCTGTAGATCTCCAGCTTGTCCTCAGCATTCGAGGAGAGATTAACATAGCTTTCGCGAACGCCCACCACCAGTTGGGCGTCATAGGCATCACCGTTCCGCTCTGCGTGAACAATCTTCATGGCAGACTCCTGCAGGCGGTGCTTGATGTCGTGAAAGATGTGCTTGTTCCACGAATCCAGCATTAGTTTACGGACGGGACTGTCCTCTGTGGGATTCTTCTTGGAGGTGGAGCTGCTACTGCCTCCCGATGATGCCGCCGCCGCCGCCGCAGCAGCTGAGCTTGTTGATGCAGATGTTGAGGCGGCGGCGGCAGAAGTTGAGGCTCCAGAGGAGGCGGCGGCAGCGGCCGAGGTGGAGGCGCCTGCCTTGTTGGCCGTAGAGCTACTACTGCCCGATTGACCACTGCAGGAGGCGGCAGCCGCGGCACTGGTGCTAGCCCCCGAAGTAGACGCGGTGGAGGAGGAGCTTGAGGGCTTAACCTGAGGCGACTGCTCCAGCTGGCGAAAGGGCAGCGGCAGGTAGTTGGACTGTGTGAAGAATTTTCGCCATTCCACAATGTAGGTGGCCAGCAGAGCCTGTTCGCCACGCTGAGCTTGCACCTGGCTCTGCGCCTGGACGATGAACTCGACAATGTCCTGCTGCAGGCAGTCGTAGATCTTGGCGGCGCCCTTCTCGTCCCACAGGCATACAAAATGCACGCCGAAGAACAAATCCTGCCACTCACGCTGCGACACAGTGTCCTGGCGAAGCAGCTTCAGCACGATCCTCCGCTTGTCCGGCCAAACCTCTTCAAAGATATCCCTGTCCCGTTTCCCGATTGCCTGCCCAGGAAGTTTATATATATTGTACGCTGGCCGAGAGTTTGTTCCACCCGCCGGGCAGGTCACTTACCCGTAGCATTTTGTTCGTAGCAATCTCTTTGTTTTTGTTGCTGCGTCCGCTTCACTTCATTTATATTTATTTTTTTTGTAATTAAAGCAGCGATGGACGATAGTTGGGTATCGTATTGGAGGCAGCGGGAAAACTCGTGCGATATGCGGTCATTATCGCTGCATCGATGAATCGATAGGCGGCAGAATCGATGAAAAACAATCTCGAGGAGCAAAAAAAAAAAACTCCGGAGCGTAGGCAAAAGTGCGGGAAATCTGCGGAACGCTGTAGAAACAGCTCGCGTTTGACAACGGGAAAGTCGGCTAGTACATCGATCGCTAATGGCCAACGGAATCCGTTTAAAGTGTAATTACCAACTGATTTTGTCAAATGTTTTGTGAAATTCGCCTGTTTCCCATTTCGTTTTGGTTTTTTTCTTCTCTACCTCTTCGTGAGCGAGTGCGATGGCAGTACTGCTAGTGCCCCATCGCCCATAGCCATCTCGCTCGCACACACGTCCCCGACCTAATGTCTGCTTCGAGCAAATGTTTCGTATTTCTCCAGGGTTGTCAGGTGTTTTCCAAATGTCAAGTTCCATGATTCTTCCGTATATCAAGATTTCGCCATATACTACAATAGTTGCGACAATCTAATGATTATGTTTATTTAGATTGCAAAAAAAATCGTTAAAGCAATAAATTAAATACAAAATCTTCAGTTATTATGATTATATCAAATTTTGTAACTATAAAAAATGGAAATCTTTATTGAAGTAAACTTAAATGAATTCCCAAATACACATAAATTTTTATCAAAAAATAAACGTAAATATCTTGAAAATCTCAGCACCTAGACATATGACCGGCAACGATGAACAAAGAAATATCGATATATTTGAAGTCTCCGCAGATGTGTGACAACCCTTGTTTCACATTTTTCACATTCACCATTTTCCCTTTGTTTGTCGGCGGCGGCGCTCGTTGTACGGCCGTGCGTAACGAATAATAATCGCAAAAAATCGCGGAAAATATACAAAAACCGTGCTGAAATGTAAATAAACAAAATTTAGATGATCAGTCGCCGATCCAGTGCTCCGATTCCCCAGCATCATGTGCGTAAAAAGCGAGATTCAGTGACCACAACAACAACTACGTGCTGCTGCTGCTGCGTTCATTGACGTGACGCGCGAGCGTGAGAGTGTGTGTGCGCGTGTGTGTGTGCTCGGTGTGCTTGTCAGTTGAGTGTGTAGGTGTGTGCGGCTGCGCTGCGAGTTGTTGTCAAAATTGAAGCATTTTTAAAAACAACAAGCCAGCGAGAAGAGGAAGCAGCAACAAACAAAACACCACGACACGGCTCAAATTGCAATAGAAGTAGCAACACCACAAATATCCCCAAAGCAGCAGCAACAACAACAACAGCAGCAACATCAACAACGTTAAAGAGCAGTGCCAACATCTGTCGCGTTCTCCTCTACTGCCAAAGAGAGAGAGAAAGAGAGGGCAAAAAGAAAGTCAACAGTCGCGTGTGAAACGAAATTCGAAAAAATGTCCGAGTGTTTGTGTGTTGAGTGTATAGAATTGAGTAAGAAGCAGCGCGACAAAAGGAAATAAAAGCAATAGCAAACCAACAGCAAAAGGAACTGCCAACCACAGCAACAACAAATGCAACAAAGCAACCAGCAACAAACAACAACCAATGAAGCAATCAAATTTAGTTTAATTTGCTTCTCTAAACCCCACAAAAACACAACAACACGACAAGGAGCAAAAATCTTTTGCCAATGAGTCGCAGACAGTCATTGGATCGACCAGGTGAGAAAATGTGTGAAATTTGAGGGAAATGTGAAAACGAATGGGAAGAAAAACACTCGTAATAGCGCTTAGTTTGCATCGGCGGCAAGAGCGAGATGAGATGCTGCACTTTGCGCGCATGTTCTCTGCGGCTCTTCTCGCTGTTTTGGCCCTCTCTTCTCGCTGCTCTAAAAATACATTTGCTCTCCTTCTCTCTAAACGCTGGCTGCGCAGCTGCTCCCAAACACTTGAACTTTGTAAACATCTCCAACAATTCTTCGGCGTGACAAACTAGCTGTATAATTAATTGTATTTCGAAATAGCCAACAGTTGAAAAAAGGCGACAGAAGAATTCACAATATATGAATGGAAAAGCCATCGCTCGCTCGCCATTCTATTTTTAGCCAGAGTTTCAACACTCGAGCGGGGAAAAGAGAAAGTATCTGTCACTGTCTTAAGCAGATGTAAATGTGGCTCATATAACTCTGTCTCGGTGTGTGTGTGTCTGGGAAAGAAAGCAGCCAATAACCATAAAAATCAAAAATTCACCAAGTTTAGGTTATATTGTTTCTGTTTTGTACTTTTGCAAGAGCAAAAAATGCGATGAACAAAGTTATAAAGTCCAATATTATTAATTCTTATTTGGGAAACTAATAATTTGGGAACTATCCAACCCACTCTTAAAAATATTATTCAAAGTAATTTGTAATGTAAAGTCAAAGCTTTAACTTTATAATTGTTTTTCCCTATTTAAATTACCTTGCGCCCGTCACATTTGTTTGTGCTACAAGCACGTGAAACTGTTTTATTTTATTATATTTTTTTCACACAATAAGAACCCTTGAACCGGAATCTACGCTGTAATGTTAAGTAAATAATAGGCTTAGCTAGTTTTGCGTTGAGGAATGCTGTCCACTTATCAACGGCAATTAGCGTTGAATGCTGGTCGTCGTCCATCGCTTGGGAACCCAGGCAGACCGGCCTCATGCACACACACCTAGCAAACACACACCCACACCCACCTGTGTGTGCGTTCCTTTAATTTATTTATAACATTCAATGTAAACTCTGCTCAAGCGCCGGCCAACAGCAGAAACAACACAAACAGGCTGCAGTTTGCTTGATTTTTTTGTTGTTTTTGTTTTTGTATTATACGCCGCTTTGTAGGTCAGGGTTGTCGTGTGTAATGCAAAACGTGCCAGAAAATTGAATGAATAAGCGTGGCTAGCGACAATCCGCCCATATATTCTATTGCAACTGTGATCACAACACAACCATTTGCCAACAATTGCCGGCTATTGCCCGAAATAACAATCGAACTAGCGAGTTTTGAACAAGTTCGTTTAGACATAGGTAATTTGGGTGTAAAATTCGGACTTGATGTAACCGCTGATAACCGGTATATATGGCAGTTGTTCTAACTAGATTATGACCTATGATACTCGAACATGACTTCCGTTTCCACTTTAACTAAGCTCAATTAACATAAACCTGTATTTTGTACGAGTGTCATTTAAAAATTCATTGATATATGTTAGTCAAAACTTTCACTATGCAAAAAGGCACAAAAGATACGTACAATAATTTAATTATTTAATTATTATTACAATAAAAATAAAGAATTTTATAGTTTCGGCCACAAAATATTAGTAAAGCAATTATTACCAATAAATGAACTTATCAGAAAGCAGTAAAAAGTGAAAAATTAAAATTGTATGTTTATGGGGTCAGAAATTACACCTTCATATCGTTAAATGCTTTTCACTGAACAGATGAAACAATATATAAATGAAAAGCGTTTATTTTGTAGAGTGGTGTAGATGGAGATAATTACTGAGTATCGTACTCTTTTCTCTAGCGGTTCTTGATGTTTTTCTTGACAATTCTGCTTGACTCGCTGCAATTTCCTAATCTACGTTGACCTTATTTCCAGCCAGTACAGAGAATGTTATCGATATTCACACTGTTTACATGCGATATGACGGTTGGTGTTGCCAGTGTTTACACTGTAAAAAAGTATTCCACCTACTAGTTGATTGACTATCATTATTGTTATTGTTATTATTGCCTGAACCCCACCGCCTTGTTGTGAATATTCGGCTTAAACTCCATTTAGAGAGCCAAAAACAGAAGCACCTCAAAATACATTTTGTAGGCGTTGCAGACAATCTGATTCGATTTGTTGTTATTGCTTCGATTTTCGCGCTTTTCTTTACGTGGAAGCGTGACAAAGCGTCATTAAATTCTTTTTAAGGTGAAATCGATTTTCCGGACCATTAGGTGCCATTAGGAATCGTTGCTATTTGAATTTTCACGTTGTTTAATTGTATTTTGCTGACAGTTTGGGTGAGCATTATTTATTAATCAATAAATAAATGAGACCTTATCAAGGTCTTTACTCAGATTGTATAGAAATTGGTACTGTCTAAAATGTCGTAATGTGGCTTGTTTATATGGGATTAACCAACTGATAAGCGATAACTTGTTGGGCTACATTGCTACGTGTTGAAGTTTAAATGCAGTACAAATTAAATAAGGGAGAATTTATTTAACAAATATTATGTATAAACTGAAATATTTTATAAATAAGAATGCAAGAGTATCCCAATTAAATAAAACAATTGTGGTTGAATATAATTTAACTCATTTCACAACGTTTGTGTATCTGTCATTATCTCGTCTAACTAAGTGATTAGTAATGCTTATACGTACCTTCATTAAATGACTCATAGGGAGTTACATATTATATAAACAGCGATTTATACGTTTGCTTATAAGGTTTTTTTTTTTGGAGCTTTGCTAGAACTTATTCCTCGTGCCCGGCATTACACTCTTTTTAAATTGTATTTGCTTATCAACAGAGAGAGATTTGGGAGAGCATGTGTGTGTGTGTGCCAGAAAGAGAGTTTTTCACTGTTCTCTCCTGCTTTTTGCAGACACTCTGGCTTTGGGAAATATTCCAGCAATTTCTCTCTGAACCCAATGCTGTTGTTATCAGTGCATTTGTTGCTCTATGCGCCTAATTGCTCTTGGCTTTTTTCGCTTTTGTATAATGATTTACGAGTGCCAAGCAAGGCCAAGAACAATGTCGGCAAATGAAAATTTGATTAGCATATAGACGGGTCCCCAAACCGGCTCCTCCTTACAGCGGAAAATCCAAGCATCGTCATCCTCGAGTCACATCATTAATCTTGGCACACAAAGGGACAGCAAAAAGTTGGCAAAAGTTGCCAAAGCAACGCATCGGGCTATTAACTTCCCCGTCCCGCTCACGCTCTACTCTCACTCTCTGTTTTTCCGCTTTTCCCTAATGAAATTGCTTTGATTTCTGGAAAAAGCTTGCGAACTTTTCTCATCTAGCGCCCTGCGTCTGGTACAGCAAATTACACGAATCCTTGTGGTTTTTCCAACCTTTTGTGGAGCTTGCTATAAGTCTTGACCCTTTATTTTGAAGGCTAATGACACTGGGTTGTTAGATAAATGAAATTTTTGACCAACACTTGATAGAATGATGTCTAGCTTATTAGCAAAATCAAACTGTCAACAGAATAATAATAATAGAAATATGTTTGTATAGTTTAAAGGAAACAGTTAAAGCTGCAGTGTTTATACTTTTAATTATAAATATATATCTTAAAACATGAATTCATGACTTAAACAAAACACAAATATAATATTTTGAGTTGGATTTGTCTTAAAAAAAAAAAAACAAAAACATGTTAAAAATGCCTGCAATAATAACTTTTCTTATGACAAAAACTTAACCAAATTATAACGAATCCTTGGGGTTGGCCACTTGGCGGTTGAGTTAAAAGTTGACACTTCTTTTTGGGGGTTAATCGCGCCGCTGGCTGCGATGTGTATCTATCTATTAAAAAATCGGGGCGAGTCGAAGTGGCCAAAAGACGATGTGGAAAACGACGACGACGATGCCGACGACAATCGCGAGTGCGCTCTCAGGAAATTGTTTTTGGGAGCACGTCGGAATTAGCGCCAATAACAATGGGAAAACTGAAGCAGAAGACTCGTGTCGGAGTCAATTTCCCGAGGGACAAAAAGTACAAAAAAAAAACCTTTTAACCAAACATTGACGCAGGAAAGTAGGCAATGTGTATAGAAATTATAATTATAAGGACAAATGGTTGCTGAAAATATGTTTCACTTAACTTATAAATTTAAATATTCATTTACATGAACATGATTTATTATCAGGAAAAGTCAGTTAAAAGTTGTTTTTTCTGACTATTAAATGATTTTATTAAATAGTTGTAAGCATTGTTTAAATCAACATGAATAGCGCCGAATAGTAGGCAATGTATTTACAAACTCTGCTCAGGAAGTCGAAGACCTCATGTCCTTTACACTCAACTCGCAATATTTCCCCCATCTAATCGTCCAATTTCCGATACTGTCCATGCATCATCTGAGTCCGGAATTCGCCCTTTCAGTGGTGCCAGTTGCCAGTTGCTAGTTGTAAATTGTTGGCAGTGAATCGTGGCTAGTGGGTCGCTAAGGGAGAAATGGGGGGTCAGACGCAAGCTGGGCATAAATTATTTTTGCCGCCCGAATGTCTAATATGGCGGCAACGGATATGCGGCTGCCATCCGCCAGTTAGACATGCACCCAACACACCGGTGACAATTTAATTAGATACAATGGAGGGTATTTCTAAAGTTGTCATAACTGGAAACGAAACTAACTGTCGGGAAGCCAAATTTTATATACTCTTTCTGTTTGAAACTATAGCTAAGCTATAAGCTTAAAATATTTGCATTTCGAAATTTTATTTTTTAACGGAACATGTCTAGATTGATTCAGTGTTTGATGCTGATCAAGAATATATATGATTTATAGGGTCGGAAATGATTCCTGCACTTATCCCTGAAAGGGATTCGTATAAATCTGCGGCTATTATACATTTTTATGTTATTTAGCTAATTAAACGGCTGTTTTACTTATCGTTATTGAATTGAAACATTTGGTTAAACAATTTAAATTATTTTCTTATGAAAAATATCCAT